TTTATTAATTTGGAAATATTTTCCCTAAAATAATTTCTAGTTAGAGGGCAAGAAATAATTTTGGTGTAATTTTTATTATTTTTGTTCAAATTTAGTAATTTGCAAACCACTTCAACAGAAGTATCGATAAAAATATCTTAGAATGTCACCTCTTGTAGGCAAAGTTTTGCAATCAACTTCATGTGTTTATAATTATGTATTTATATGTATCATGTATTTATATTTATTATATGTTTCAGCCTGTTGAAGTGTCGAGCTTGTGTGTTGCTATTTCCATAAACTTAAAAAGTTATATATATATATATATATATATATATATATATATATATATATATATATATATATATATATATATATATATATATATATATATATATATATATATATATATATATATATATATTAGGGCTGTTCAGTATGCTAATTTGTTTTCAGAACATAGCTAATTGAAGTTTTTTCTCATTCAACTATCATATTGTGGTTCAAAAATATTTTTTACTAAATTTTATTATTTGCCTTAAAGTTCCCTCAAAGCCCCCAAATACTTGACAGGTCCATAATATTATCTTAAAAAAGAATTATTTAAAAATATGTCAACTTGGTACTTAAAAGAAGCAAAATTTTATAATAATTTTAAAAATTAGATTCATTTTTTATAAAAAAAACTTATAATTAAAAATGTTGTGAATATTACCTTTTTTTCATTATTCGTTTAAAGGCTATAGTTTTTATTCAAAAAAACCTAAAATTATTATTTTTATAAAAAACATTTTTTGTTTTTGAAATTTTTAATTGATTTTCGTTCTTTTGAGTACCAGGTTGACATGTTTTTAAATAATTTTTTTTTTAAATAATATTAGGGACCTGTCAAATGTTTGGGGGCTTTGAGGGACCTTCAGGGCAAATAATAAAACTTAGTAAAAAATATTTTTGAACCACAATATGATAGTCGAATGGGAAAAATTTCAATTAGCTATGTTCTCAAAACAAATTAGCAGACTGAACAGCCCTTATATATATATATATATATATATATATATATATATATATATATATATATATATATATATATATATATATATATATATATATATATATATATATATATATATATATATATATATATATCAGGCCTTGTTTTAAAGCATTATGCAGCCAGCAATTTATGTATGTGTAAAGCAATTTTATGTACGCCTAGAGCTATTTCCATTAAGTGACTTTTTATAATTTTTCAACTTTATATAGGTTAAGATAACAAAAGTAATTAATTTAATCAAAAAACCACATTATCTTTTGAATGACAATTATGTATAAATATTTGTTACAAAAGTTTGAATGACAATTATGTTAGATATAAGCACTATTTACTAATGAAATAAACTTAAATTTAAAAGCTGCAAAAACTTTATTTCTATTAAACTTATTATTTTATCGAAATATTCAGTAACAGAAAACAAAATTGTTTGTAGTTAACGAAAAATTTATTTTTGTATGCTAAGTATAAGTTAAATGAAAAGTAAAAAAAAAAAATTTTATACAACTTTTGATTGCAATAAAAAAAAAAAAATTACTTAAGTTTCTATTTAACAATAAAAACAAATTTATATTAAAAAAAAAGTTAAATTTTATTTTATTATATCTTTATTTTATATTATGAAATTTTATTTTTATTTTGTTTTTATTTTATTGTAATAATTGATTTTTTTGCTTAAAAAATGCTAATACTTTAGGCTTGAAGCAAAGATTATTATAATATAATTTAATTCTGATAAAAAATATTTGAATTAATTTAAAACTAATTTTATAAAAATATATAATTTTATTCTGATAAAAAATATATATAATTTACTTTTGATTTAAAAAATTCTGATTAAAAAAATATATTTAAATTTATTAAAATTATAGTTAATGCTTGGGTTTATTTTAACTGTCAAATTTATTTTAAAATATTACTAAATACTGTTCAATATTTAAATTTGATTTATTTTTAAAAAAAATTAACTCCTTTTTATCGCAATTGTTTTTTCAGTTTTTCTTCCTAAACATTTTTTTTTTTTTTTTTTTTTACTTAAAATTAAATTTTTTGTAAATGTATTCCAAGGGTGCATCAAAAGTTTGCACAAAATGTAAGTTAAATTTTTTTTTATAACGCTAAATGTTTATAAATAAAATCGATAATGTTTCTAAAATAAAAAAACATTTTTAGTTACAAAGCTGTAATTAGCAATTTAAGAAATATTCATTTATGCAAATGTCGAGAAAAGAAAGAAGTTTGTCAAAAAAATTTTAAAATGTTAAATCTAATTATTTAGTAAAAAAAAATTGAAAGAAAATAAACATTCTCTAATAGTAATACAGGGGTGTACTCTTATGGTCGTTTGGTGGCACATGGCGACTCTTTTTTTAAGGGCGACTGAAATTAAAAAAAAATGCCTGTCAGTAGCCCGGTTGGATGACCAGACAGCTTGTTACTTTCAAAAGTGTGTTTATTAATAAAACTATATTTTGATTTATAGAAATTTTATTTCTTGCAATTATTTAAAAAAAAACTTTAAAGAGCATTTAAAATACTATACATTTCGTTTAACAATGAGTACATTACCGTGCATTATATAATTTTACACATGTGCATTATATAATTTTACCAAATTTAATGAAAAGAAGCTGACATTCGATTTAATATTTCGAAGTGCAGCATTTTTGTTGTGGTGGATATTGTCAATCTTAACAAAAGTTTCATAATGCTGAAAAAAAACCCACAAAAAATCATTATAAACATCAAATTTAATTAAGTTGAATGTTTAAAACATTATGTTTTTACTGTAATTCATTATACTAAGACCTCTTTTTTTTTATAAAAATAAAATAATTGTTTATCATGTGCATCTTAATAATGTTTTTTATTATGTTAATTTTGTTTAACAGAGTTAAAATAAAAATTTATTTTACAAATGAAAAACAAGAGATAAAGTGTTATTAATGATACTGCTCATTCACATGATTTAAAAAGCGACTATAAAATTTAAAAAATGATACATTAGCATTTGGAATTTTAAAAAATGTAATTATTAAACTTGTTTTAAATTTAGAAGAAATGTGCTTCAAAATGCAACAATAACATTTAAAAAAACAGTACAATCTCACTTTGAAATATTAAATTGCATATTGGCTTCTTTTTAATATGTTTAGTAAAATTATATAATGCACTGTAGTGTACTCAATATTAAACGAAGTAAAAAGTAAAAACTATTTTAAATGCTTTTTTCCGGTTTGTTTTAAATAATCAAATAGAATAAAATTTTCATAGTTCAAAATGTGGTTTTATAAATAAACATTCTTTTATAAGTAATAAACTGTCTGGTCGTCCTGCCGGGTTACTTACAGGCATTTTTTTTTATTTCAGTTGCCCTTTGAGAAATTGAGTCATCTCATGCCATCAAGCATCCATGAGGGTAAACCCCTGGATGTGTTAATCTTTTATAAGTGATATGTATATGTTATTTGTTTGCATCACATAAGGTGGATCATAATGGGCTGTTATATATTTGAAATAATGTCGTCTTTATCTTTTTACAAAAAAAAAATTTATCATAAAAAATTGTTACATCTCAAAGGTTTGTTTGGTAAACGGAGCCATAGGTTGTTGAAGGTTAAATTTTGTATGAGTTTGATATTTAATTTAATACTATATGATATTTAATAGCATGGAATGGAATATTTGAATAAAGTTTTAAAAACCCTAAAGTTTTAAAAACTTTAAAGTTGTTTACCATAAAAATATATCATAGTAAATATATTAAGTAATATATATAGCCTACATTTTATAATATATTATAATCTTTTTAAATAGTTTCTATGTTTCTCTAATAATTTTAAACAGCTTTGATGAACTTTAAGATAAGTTAACTTTTTTAAATAACTGGCGTTTCAAGTAAAATGGGTTTTAAATAACTTAAACATCAAACGAGAAATGTCTTATAAGATATTATTAAGGAAAAATTTAAAGATTTTATTTATTATACCTAAACCTTTTGATTTTTAAAAACATATTATTGTTTTTATTTATATATTTTAACCAAATTCATAGAGTTTTAAAAATGCATTAAATAAATTTATTAAAACAGTATAATATACTCATTAATTACAAATAGAAGAGATTTAGACTAATTAATAAAAAGAAAGTTTAACTTATGCATAATTATGCATAATTATATATTATACAATATTTAACAATTTCAACAAAATTTTCTATTGTAGATTTCTATTGTAGATTCCAAATCAAACTACAGTGGGCTGCTCAAAATGTCTATATGATGTCTTATTCTTGATGCTCTTTCTCTTTATAGCAAAGTCCAAAAACCCATTTTGAACATGACCTGCTTTATCTGCAAAGTTAGAGCCTCTCTCCCATTGTCATTGTCAGTTGCATCTCTTTATGTTTTCTACATATATTATCATGGTTGTTGCTCTTAAGGAGCTAACATCTCTATTTCCATCAACCACAATTCATTCTCACTTGACTTGTCATTCAGCATTAGTAAAAGTATGTGAATGACTCTGAATGACTTCACTCGTCATTCAGCGTCATTCATATTCTTTTACTGTATCTGTCTCTGCATGCTCTAAACTTTTTTCCATTTAATTTTTTTCCTGCAATTCAACTATTTAGAATTTTCTTCCATCTTCATGTTTTCTCACTATATATTTATAGTTCCACTAAAACTCTGCTATAGAATGTTTGCTTAGATAAAATATTTCAGTTTCTACTTGCTTATAAGTTATGTAATAATGTAAAAAGTTGCATAATAAATTACATAATAAGTTAATAAATTACATAATAAAATTTTGTTTTATTTAATTTTTTCAATTTATTGCATGGCTTGCAAGAATATAATATTTATTTTCATTATATTAAACAACTCTTTAATTTTTTTTAAATATTGAGTTTTTTACCAATAATATCTGTTTGGATTTAAAAAATTTAGTGTTTTACATTTTAGTGGGAACAAATGAAAAACTTTTCCACGCAAAAAACAACAGATGAGTCAAAGAGGCCAGTCATGACAAATCAAAACATGTTTAGCAAGCTGTGAGTATATACAGTAAATAACTTCTTTTGGTTTACTTAAAAATTTGTAAAATGTATAAAAAATGTTTTATTTTTTTTATTTTTACAATAGACCTCCAATTGTTTCTCACTCAACAATAAATTCAGCATCACTAAATCCAACAACCACACAAAAAAATGTTGTTATCGCTATTGATATGGATCCTGAAAAATGGTGGGTGATTTTGTATTCTTTTTTTCAGACAATAAAATTAATATTATTGCAGATTTCATACAAAAAAACAATAAGAAATGTTTCAAACATTTATTTTTGATACACTTTCTATTATTTTACGATATAATTTATAAGATAATAATTTTTAAGGCACTTATTGAAAAGAAGCTTTTTAAAATTGTTTTTAATTTTTATTAGTATGTATATATATGTATTTATATAAATATATATATATATATATATATATATATATATATATATATATATATATATATATATATATATATATATATATATATATATATATGTATATAAATATATATATATATATATATATATATATATATATATATATATATATATATATATATATATATATATATATATATAACCCTCGGAATTAGGAAAAATGAGGTCGGCAAATTAATGCCGACCTCAATCTTTTTGAGGACAGCATCAGGTTGGCAAAAGTTATTTGATACAAAGGTCTGACTGTAAAACATAGAAACAAGGTCAGCAATTTTTTTGCCAACCTCAAACACTTTCAGGTCGGCAGTTAGCTCAGCATTGCCGAATGCTGACCCTAATTCCGAGGGTTGTATATATATATATATATATATATATATATATATATATATATATATATATATATATATATATATATATATATATATATATATATATATATATATATATATATATATATATATACTCTAGCGCTATTAGATGCATTTTTTCTACTTTAACAGGTTTTTTTTGGCCTAAAACAGCAATTTCATATATTTCGAGTGCATCTAATAGCGCTTCCGTTATAATATATATATGAGAAATCATCAAATAATTGTAGTTCTCTTAAAATTTCTAAAATAATTCTTCATTTTAAGAAATCTTGGCTGAATTAAGGCCCTAGCGTCATCAGCTCATAAATTGACAAAATTTTTAACCCTAAAAGTGCCATTTAGAGGAGGAACTTTTTTAATTTAAGATCTTCACAGACCTTCGATTAAATTCTTTTGCCTTTACTTAAAGAGTTTTAACCTTTTCTCAAATTATTTCTTTTGAGCAAAACTTGCTATCTTTGCAAAACTTAAGTGGGTATTGTAAACTTATAATGCTCACCCTTGTTTAAACTTTTTAAATGTTGCTGAGTTTGATAATTTTTATAATTTTTTTGAGCATTTGCATTAAACCATTTTTTTTTTTTTTTCTTATTTGGTTTGCAATACTTTTTGATTATTGCAAAATTTAATTATTTGGTTTGCAATACTTTTTAATTGTTGCAAACTTTAATTATTTGGTTTGCAATACTTTTTAATTGTTGCAAACTTTAATTATTTGGTTTTCAATACTTTTTATTTGTTGCAAACTTTAATTATTTGGTTTGCAATACTTTTTAATTGTTGCAAACTTTAATTATTTGGTTTGCAATACTTTTTAATTGTTGCAAACTTTAATTATTTGGTTTGCAATACTTTTTAATTGTTGCAAACTTTAATTATTTGGTTTGCAATACTTTTTAATTGTTGCAAACTTTAATTATTTGGTTTGCAATACTTTTTAATAAGTATTCATTAAATATTTGAGTTGATTTTTTTAATAGACTTTTGTTGAACACTTAACTAAAAAAATTTTTTTTTCATAAACATATTTACCTTATAAATAACCACCGTCCATTTATTTATGTAAATATAAATTTATATTTACCTTAGGTAAGTTATATATTTATATATTTTTTTGTTATAATTTTATTTGTTATTTTTACATAGAGAAAGTTTAGAGCTTTTTTTTTTCTTATTAAAAAGGTTACTGCTCTATCGAAATCTACAAAAATTAATTACTAAGTTTGTGTATGTCCAAAAAATAAAAATTGTGTTTTGAGTAATAAAAACTAAAAAAAAAAATTGAAAAAAACTTTTTAACTCTGTTATTATTTTAACTTTTTTAATTCTTCTAATTAGTTAAAATATATTAAAAAATGTGGTTGTAAAAGTAGCTATTAGTGCATTGTTCAACAAATTAAGTTTACTCAAATCAATGTCAGTTTTTCCTATATAAAAAAATGTATTCTCCTTGGTTCTTCTAATTTTAAACATAACAAAAAAATTATTCTATAAATGTGAGTTGAACTCTATAAATGAATCTATAAATGTGAGATGAACTCTATAAATAAATCTGTAAATGTGAGTTTAACTCTATTAAAGTTAACCAACTTAAAAGGGGTTCAGCTCCTTTTATTATTCTGAAAATGTGCAGAAAAAAAATGCAGCTGGAATATAATTCTTAATTTCGAATACTTTCTTTTAAAATAAGTTTTCAGCACAGTATAGCTTAGTTTTTTGTTGTTGCTGTTGTTCAGTGAAAGCATGAAGTATTTTAAGATCAAAACATGTTTCCCATTTCTTCTACATTGAAATTATTAAAAAATTTAAATTTGGTTTTTGAATTTGGGAAGTTTAAACTTTGTTGTTATTATTTAATACAATATATATATATATATATATATATATATATATATATATATATATATATATATATATATATATATATATATATATATATATACATAAAATAATTGTAAATAATATAATAAAATGATAATTGTATTTAATATATAATTCAAAGTATTATATTAAACAACTATAAATACAGCAAGTACAAATTTTTAAATCTTTTACTGTCAATCTTGTTATGTATTATTTTAGTTATAATTAATCACAAATATTTGTGTCTGAATCAATTTCTCTGTGAGTTGACAAATTAAATCTCTCTGTCAGTTAATTGCTAAAGTATTATTTTTATAATAATTACTTGATTTTTATTTTTGGTTCCAATTTAGGAAAAAGTTACCTCCATTTGAACAAGCAAGAATTATTGAAGAAAAAAGGTTTTTATTTAATTACTTTCTAAGAAAAAGGAAATTCATTAATTTTTTATATATTTACTTTATTTTTTGTTTTTACTATTATTTTTAATATTATTACAAGTCATACAATGTATTATACAGTTATTATATTACTAGCTGAGATCGGACCCGTAAAAATACCGGTCTTTGTAAATCTATTCCAAACCAAACTTTTCTATACTTTTTCTTTATATATCCTAGCTTTCCGGATCCGTAAAATACAAGCCTTTACCAATTTACATATCTATTCCTCACCGATTATTTCTATAACTATTCCTTATTTACTTCAATATTTTTTAGTAAAATAATTTATTCTGAAAAAAAACTTAAGGAGCAAAAAACTTGACATGCGCACCTTTGCCGCATATGAAGAGCTTATAAGAGACTCATAATTAGGTTTGTTTTTCTACTAAATGCATTTCATTGATAGCTCAGTGGTTAACTGTGCTGTCATTAGTATTGTTTTGGAGTGTTTAAAACCTCTTAGCATAATAAATTTTGAAATTTTTTCAATTTTGCTTATATATTTATAGCAAAAAATAATAATATAGCAAAAAAGATTTCTAAAATTTGAAATAAAATTTTAAACTTTTCTCATTTTATAGATATATAGATATACGCGATTATTCCATATAATGTCTGCAAACTCAACATATGCTAAAGACTTACAGATGTTTGTACGTAATGCTATACAAATGGAACTTAGAAGATCTTAGAGCATTAAACCAAAGTCATAAAAAAAAAATCATTCTTATGATTAAGAACTAAAGAATAATATTAAACACTAGTCTAAAAGTTAAGCCAAAATGATTTTGCGCATTGATATCAGTTTGTGGCAAAATAAACCTTTATGCGTTAAGTTTCCTTTTGCATTTATCTTACATTTTTTAAAATTAATTTTAATTATGTTGCATACAAATGCATAAAAATATATAAAACTTGTACAGACATGTCATTTTCATGGATAAGAGGTTGCACGGATAAGAGATTGTACTTATTACAATAGTAATAAATAAATAGTTTTTGTCTTTATTAGAATATATCCCATAAAAATATATTTCATATATCTTTAATAGAAAGAGTTTTTTAAAAAAATGGAAATAAAATTTATCTCTATGACTATCATTTTGAAAGGTCTAAGAAGCAGTTGATGTAGTTTTAGCAATTAGAAATTATCAAGAGAAGGGCAAATATAAAGTTGAAGTTTCAAATTTTCCAGTTGGAAAATCCGAAATACATAATAAGCATATTAAGGCATTTTGAAAAGCGTCTGCAGCATATATTTATAGTAAAAAAATAAATGTACCAAAAAAAAACTTTTGATTGTCAAAATAAAGTTTTAAAGTTTTTCTGGCTACGGGCTTTTTTTTTCTTTTTTTCTTTTTTTTGCTTCCACAGCAGCACCTTCTGCAGTAGCAGGACTTTCTTATTAAGTTTTTTCTTTATTAAGTTTCAGACAACTTTTTTTTCAGACTATCTGCAGCTTAATAGGACTAATTACCTGAGCACATTAATAACATTAGCATCTCAATCATAACACATACGCAACAAATTTTTTCTCCCGGTGTTTTGATATTTTTATAGATTTTAGCTTTTTTAAAATCTTTTTCATTCGTTAAAGTGTATAATATCGTTACATATGTTTGCATATAATCTCTATAAAACTTTAAAAGTGTTTTGTATTTTAAAATAATCGAAAATAATTAAAGAAAAAAAATTGCCATTGGTAGGACACGAACTAAGCCTTACTTGATCAGAAACTCAGTGCGATTTCCACTCGGCCACACAGGCATGTTGTTAAACAAAAGTTTTCAAAACTATATAATAATTTTTTTAATGGAAAGAAATGCTGTAGATCAAAATTATGGAGAGCTTGACTCAATGCAATTTTGAAGTGAAAATCAAACTGTAAAACTTGATAAATATTTCAGTATGCTTTAACATAACTTAATTTAAAGTTTACATATGTTATATATTTGCATACATGTTCGTTCAGGTTTTTTTATAAAATAAAGTACTGCGTCTCTTTCTTGCCACTACCTCGGTTGCAATGGCTACCAAAGGTTTCGTGTCAAACACACTCGAAACACTAAAAGGATTAAGTTCGGCGATAATATACAGGATTACATGATATGTAATAATATATATGTAATAATTTTTACAATTATTTTACTATTGTTTTATATTATGCAAATATTACATTACTAAATTTGTATATAATATTATTACAATTGTTATATTATAAATTTTTATTCATCAACTTTTTGATTTTGAATTTTATCTCTGTGTGTTATTAAATTTATTTAGAAAGTTAATCAACAAAAATATGCACCAGATAAATATAAAGACTGTAAATATTGCACCAAAAGCAAATGTTCATTCTCTTTTACAACCTCAAAAGGTATCCAATTCACTTCTTCCTACAAATTATCAACTGGTTAGCTCCTCGAGCATAGAAACAATAAAATCACCTGTTTTTCAACCTCGACCCTCAATTAGTGGTGTGATAATACCAAAGCCTGATTGTTTACAAAAAGTTGGTTTTCAACCAGCAGCACACCATGTTTCACTTCAAACATATAATCAGGAATTTTCTCATATATTTGCTCAAGTATGTTTTTTATTTATAATTAATTTTTGATATTTAAAACAATTGCCATTAAAAATAAGATTATGTAAAATTTGTGTTAAAAAGCATTATTTTATTAAAAGTACCACCTGCAACAATTATTTTGAGTTTTAGTTTTTTATTTTAGTAAGTCAATTTTGTCTTAGTAAAATATAAATGTATGAAGTATGTAAATAAGTGCATAAATTTAGCTTTAATAGTGTTGTCTAAAAAAGTTTTTAGTTTTTTTAAATTCTTAAGTTGCCATGACAAACTGATTAAAATATATAAAAGAAAAATTAACCATAAGTTTAATTTTTTTTAGAAAAAAGATGATGAAGAATTGTCAAATTTGATTGCACTTCCACGGCCAAAATCAGTTCAAATGCCTCCTGGATTTACATCTAAAAACTTTGGTGATATTGTCATGATTGTTGAATTTGTAAATTGCTTCAAGAAGTTTCTTGATGTGAATGATCGACCTGATATAACCACAGGTTTGAGTTTGTGTGTGTGAGTAATTAAATGTGACTAAATAAATGTATGATTGCATGTATTTTTTATCATAATGGTTCATATATACTACATTGCCATTAACTATCTTTCACTTGATGTGTTTACTTTGGCAAAAATCATCAGTCGCATTTAATGCTGACCTTAATGCTCAGTGTATATATATATATATATATATATATATATATATATATATATATATATATATATATATATATATATATATATATGCACACATACATACATACATTGTATATTAAAATATTTTGATTTAAAAACATTGATAAATACCAGTTCTATCAATGCTAGTTTATTGACCTATATATAAACTATAGCAAAGCATTGCCACAATTGAAGTAATATGTAATAATTTGCAAATTGATGTAATAGTTACGCTTTACAAAAGACAGCCATTGTCAAATGGTTGCAATGTTGAAAGTTTACAGCTTGTAAACACAACTTGTGGTCCGGACAACATACCTGTTGTAGTCTTGCAGAAGTGCTCTCCATAACTGTCGTCTATACTTTTAAAAATATTTTACAAGTGCTTATCGAAGTCTTGCTTTCTGGCATGCTGAAAAGCAGCATCTGTTATCCCTATTTTCAAAAAATTCTGGAGAGCGATCTGACTCGTCTAACTGCCGTCCTATTAGTCTTCTTCCTATCATAAACAAGGTTTTTGAATCTTTAATTCACAAACACTTAATCTTGAATCTTGAATCTAATAACTTACTGATTATCAATATGGATTTCGTTCTTCTTGTCTGATCACTTGGAGGGGGCATTTGAGCATAAAACCCAATTTTTTTCAGCCAATTGTTACCGCAATAATTTAGATCTTCCTATATTTATGAACCATGATGTATTCAATGAGTCATCTACCTTTCATCTTCTAGGATTAACTCTTACTTCTGATCTTTCTTGGAAACCATATATCAAATCTATTGCAAAATTAGCATCTGCTAAAATTGCATCTTTTTATTGTGCTTGACACTTTCTTACTCTAGATTCTATTCTTTATCTCTATAAATCTCAAATTTGTCCTTGTATGGAATACTGTTGCCATATCTGAGGCAGATCTTCCAATGATGCCCTTTCTCTTTTAGACAAGGTGCCAAAACGCATTGTAAACATAGTTGAACCTGCTCTTGCAGCCAACCTCCAACCATTATCACATTATCATAATGTTGCTCCTTATTCTCTTTTCTACAAATACTATTACAGGCACTGCTCTAAAGAGCTAGCTCTCTTGTGCTATCTACTAAAATTCATTCTCGTGTTACTCATCAATCAATCAAGTCTCATTTATTTTCTGTAACTATTCCTTAGTGCTCCAAAAACTCTTATTCTTCTAGTTTTTTCCCTCAAACATCAGTTCTTTGAAATTTGCTTCCTTTATCTTGCTTTCCTGATTCATATAATTTGCAATCTTTTAAGTCATCTGTCAATTGTTATCTTGCTTTAATCTTCATTTTTTCTCTTCCAGTAATTTCCAACTCTAATAGTGGTTGTTTGCAGCCTTGTTGGAAGTGAAGATGTTGAAAAAAAAAAAAAGAAAAAAAGGTTTGAAAGAGTGAATTTTGCATTCTATTCAACTACAAAAGTGTTTTTTTTTGTGTGGTGTTGGCCTTGGAAATTTAAACTTTCAAAAGTTCAAAAGATGATTACCCCCTACTTTTCTATCCCTCCTCAAAAACAAGAGTCAATCTGCATTATTTTTATTAAGTAGTATAACTAACCTACTGACCCCAAAAAGAATTAAAGATATTGACCTGGTAACCATTTGATCTTTATATAAAATTTATTATTGAGTCTTCAAAAAAATTTATCACATGTAAAATCATCTACCATAAGTTTAAAGTTTGTGAGTCACATATTTTAGTAAGACACATAAAAAATTAGCATATCACTGTTTTGCTGTGTAGTCACTAATGCAATATTTAGCATTAGATATCTTTGTGCATATTTAAAAATTACTGTTTGTTTGTGAAGATTAGACACTTGGTTGAAAAACATTCAGAATACTAGTTACTATATAGAACACTTGGTTGAAAATGGAAAACTACACAAAAACACTTGGTTGCAAACTGCCTAAAAAATACTTGGTTGATTAATGGAAAAGTAGTGCAGTTGTGGTACAAAATGTTTTTTTTCTGATTTGTAAAACCATACAATTTTTGGCCAATAAAACATTTGAATTGAATAAGTTTTATATCCCAAATTATGCCTTTAGTTTTTAAAGGGGTCCTTATCTCAGACATCAGCTTACAAAATATTTAAGAAACTTTGGTTAAACCTTTTAGCTAGGGTTTTAAGACTATTTAATTACATATTCTTGAACAAGTTATAAAAATTGTTTTAAAAACTAAAAATTTTCATTATTAACATTTAATTAGTTTTTTTTTGCTCTATTTAGATTTTTTGTTAATTTCCATTTTTATTTATAATTATTTCTTATTTAGCTCAACTTTTGTTAGCTTTAACACCTGGCAGCAAAGGTTCATTAATCACATGTCAGATTCTTTTGATGTTTCTAAAAGTTGTTTTAGGCAATGAAGACTATAAGGTATTGAAAAAATGATTTGATCAAAGATGGGCTATAAGTATATTTTTCTTGTAAAAGAAGCTTATAAAATATAATTTCAAAAATTTACAGAAATCTAAATAATTGTAACAATATAATTTCTGGTTCTTTTCTTTGGTTTGTTAACCATTTTGCTGATATTTAAGTTATTGTGTTTGTGTTGCTTATTACTTGGTTTGCTATGTGTTTTTTTTTAAATTTGGTCTGCTTTTTTGCTTAACTTTTCTTTGTGCTTTTTTGTTCAATTTGACATGGAATTTTTGCATGTTCATTTTGGTCTAATTTTTACATGTTTTGTCTGGTACGTTTGTTTGATCTAATGTTTTAGAGAGTTTATTTGCTTTTTTGGTTTGCAAGTCTTGTTTGATTTTTATTTATCTTGCCCATGCTTATTTTATTTTTAATTACAATAGTTAATACTTTTTAATACTCACAATAGTTAATACTTTTTTAGATCAAAGGTTTGAAGATTGAACTTGCAGATCTTCCACTCACTGAACATACAGTTTCTTATCTGCTAGGTCAATTTTTAAAATCTCAGCTCGAAAAGATGAAGAAAGAGCGTCGTGCAAAAGAGATTGAATCTGAAAATGCTCTTGTTGCTGAAATAGCTGGATTCAAAAAAGTAGCAACAGCTGATAAAGAGGATGAATATAAAGATGCAGATGAAGATGAGAATGTTGAAAAAGATCCTACATTTGTTCTTGATGAAACTGATCCCACATTTATACTTGATGACGATGAAATGGAAATTTTTAAAGCTAGGGTATGTTTTTAACTAATTTTTGTTTTTTAGTATTTATTGTCATATATGTTTTATATAAAATTATTTAAAAGTTTATACATGGATTTTTTAATTAGTAATGATATTATAATTTAATATTTTATTAATAATTTAATATATTAATTCTTGAACTACTTATTGTAGAAAAAGAAAATAAAAAAAGCAATAAGTGCATTTGAGAACGAAGTAAGTCAATTTTTTAATTAATATTTAACGATACTCTCATTCATTTTTTTACTCATTTGATGGCTTTCCTTAAATTTGTCAAATAATTAAATTAGTCACATATTTTAAAAATGAAATGTAAATGAGATGGAAACTTATAAATGTGGCAAATTTGTAATTGTAAAAAAAAGCCTTTAATAAAATATTAAAGTAAGCAACTGAAATTCTGTAAATTTTTAAAATTTATTGGTAAATTATAAAATTAAATAATATAAAAAATAAATAAAAGAACACAGTATTAGGCAACCCTCGAAATTAGAGTCGGCATTCCGCAATGCCGAACTAACTGCCCATCTTAAAGTGATTAAGATAGGCAAAAATTTGTCGACCTTGTTTCTATGTTTTATGGTTAGACCTTTGTATTAATTTTTTTTGCCGACCTGATGCCGATCTCTAATAGATTGAGGTCGGTAAGTTAATCCCAACCTCATTTTTCCTAATTCTGAGGGTTGGTATTAGGGGTAGTTATCATAGCTTTTAATTTTTCTTATAAAGAAATATCATTGATAGATAATTTTTTTTATTTTGAAGTTTTATAATAAATAAATAATAAGTGCTAGCTTTAGTTATTTTTTTAAATTCACATCCCTAAGGCTCCAGCGGAGGCCACTACCGTGTAAGAGACCACAACAGTGCCACATGTTTTTTTTTTTTTTTATTTTTTTTTTTACATTATGTTTGCAGTTCTTTTTCGACCCTAAACTACAAAATAAAAACCTTATTAAAAAAGTTTGTTGCACAAAAAAACAAGCTGAACCCAGTACTTCCAGAGGCATTGGGTAGATTTGAACTTTAAACCTATTAATTGAAACTTGGTTGTTCTACTACTATTATTACTATGCTATCAAATTTTTGACAAGAAGTCTATTAAGCATATCTATTATTGTTGAATGGCAAATAAATTGTTGATTAGATTGGATTTTTTAGAATTTAAAAAATGACAAAAATAATGAGAAAAGAATGCCGTGCAATACAGTTTAATATGAAAATGCACTTGTTGCAGAAATTCTGATGGCTTCAATAAAATACTGACTACTACTAAAGATTTACTATGTTACATAGTAACATTATGGATTGTATTAATGCATCTTGTAAATTTTAATATTTTTTAACAGTTTTAAAATGTTGTATTCATTTTATAAAAAAACTCAAAAAAAAATTTTTAATGATGTCAACAAAACATTAAATATAAGCAACATTAATAAACTTGACATCACTCATCTTTTTTTTTATGCACAGCCTTGTTTGTGTCACAAAAACAGCCTTATTTGTGTTTGACTCCAAGGGACCACAATAGTCAAATACTTTTGTTGTTATATTTAGCAAATCTATAACTCTTATTCATGAAAAAAGGTCATTGTGTGTAGGAACATGTTAAATGTGTTACTTTTAGGGATTTGGTTTGAGCTCTTCGCCTACAAAGCAAGTGCAATGCCTCTACACCATATTTTATAAATTTATATAAAATAAATATAAAATATTCACATTTTTTAAGTATAAAATATGTATTAAATTTTTTATAAATTATGGTTAATTATTAAATTAATTTTTTGTTTATTACCATATACAACAACTATAGTAACCATATACATAAAACAATTGTCAAAAAAAATCATTTTAAGAAGAAGTAATGTTTTCTTTTTTTAACAAAAGGTGAAAAAATAATTTTGAATGATTCAGTAAATCAAAACTGAAAAATTGAATAGAAGAGTTATTCATTATTTACTCCATTATTACTAATATTTTACTATCCATTAATATATGTTTTTACAATCCACTAATATATTACTTGAAAATTTTGACATTTTAAAATATTTTAAAATGTCAAAATTTTAAACCATTTTCAAAGTATTTAATCATATTGCCAATGTTCTTTGAAAATTATATAAAATTGTAATAAATGAAATTTAAAATAAATTTTTGCATACCAAAACAATACAACTTAAATAAATCAAAGGTCCAAAATTTGAACTATCAAAGATCCAAAATTTACAACCTATTGCATTAGAAATACAAAAGATTTCTGCAGAAGAATACTGACAAAATTTTAAAGATTTCTACAGGGGAATACTGACAAAATAGGTAGCAATACAGCAATACATATGTCAGATAGCAGTACAGCTACTGTAAAATAAGGTGATGAGAGATCTGATAGTGTTTATTTGGAACAAATTAAATTCTGAGATTGACTGTAAGTGTTAACAAGAACATACAACTCGCCTCAACATGTAAAGTGCTATTTTACTCGTGAAATGCTATCTTACTTATGAAATACTATTGTAAGGTAGAAATACTATCGTGAGTTGTATGTTGTATCTCTGTTTTAATGGATGCAGGGATAAAACTTTATTAAACTTGAAAAAACCTTATTTGACAAATACTGAAGTTGAACAATCACCGAAGAACATGTGTTACTAATAGAGGACTCCTAGTTTCACATACATTGGCTGTATAATGCCAGATATTGTAGCTTACTTCTGAATGTAGTTTGCTTTCCTTTTCAGAAATGTAGACTTAAGAATATTTTTTAGAAGATGCTTTTGGAAAACTTATCTATTTTTTTAATTTACTTCAGTGTTTTAGAATTTATGTTGTTCTTCTTTAGTAGATTACAAGCTAAAATATTTAAACCATGCCAAAAACACCTGTATGCTGACATCCAATCTTATTTATTTACTATCAATATATTAGCTGCCACCATGTTGAATGCATTTTTAGTGCAAAAAGCTTTTAACTTTCTTATTTTTGATACAATGTTTTCATCTTCAATTACCTCAACCATTTAATCATATAAAGTATTGTGTTTTCTTTTGAATTATTACTTTTTATATATTCACACAAAGTTGGAGTAGCTAGCATAATTTGTATGAGTGAACCATTAAATACATATGACCAACTTTCATAAGTACAAATGTTTCTTACTGGTATATTCATGTTTGAATTTACTTACTTGGTCATATTCTGTGTCTAAAAGACTATGGCTCAGTGTATAATGCTTTGAACGTGGTCAGTTAGGTCAAATCTTCTTGAAGAAATTTATCCAGATTAATCCAATATTTCCTACATGCTGAAAGTGCTGGCTGTTGCATAGACAGCTTTTGTATTTTGTATGTTCATCACTCTCTTGTGCTGACACTATAAAATAAATTGATTGATACATACATTCATTAAATTGATTGACACATAAATTCATTAAATTGATTGACACATACATTCATTAAATTGATTGACACATACATTCATTAATACTTTTACTTACTATTGCATATTTTATCTTATTAAAAAATTAAAATGGCAAATGTTAACTTGCAAAATATCTAATTTTTTTTTTGTTTTTGTTTTTGTTATGAGAAGTGTTTTTATCTTTTTTTTTTTTTTTTTGTTTCTGCTTTCACTTTTAGATAACAATGGTTTCTGTGGAATTAGAAAAATCTGAGTTTTATGATCTGTCAACAAATTCCCAGCTTCAGGTATTTTTTGTAAATTTATATTCCTATCTCTTTCCTAATATATTTTGCACACTTTAAGTAAAAACTTTCTGAAAATCTGCAGATGTGACCATAAGGTAATTTCTCATATTTTTTATAGAATTTAAAAAAAAGTTTTCTGTAAAGAGGATTCAGAATCTCCAAAATTGTGGATTCAGAATCTCCAAAGAAAAAAGAAAGAAATTTAAAGATATCTTGCTTAGAGAATCAACTTTTAAGTTAATTTTTTTGGGAATTAAAATTAATTTTTTAAATTTGATTACATTTTTTATAAGTTCAATATTTGGTAAGCTGAATTTTAATAAAACTCCATACAGGGGTGTGGAGTCATAAAAAAAAAAGTAACAACTCTAACTCCGACTCCAATCGCTGAAATTTTCAGAGTACAACTCTGACTCTGAAGCAAAATTTTTGAAAAGTTCTTTATAAAACATTAAGCGATAATTTAAAAAGTTTTTTTGCCAAATATATGAAAAATTCTTTGAAGGTTAAATATTTTATACAAGCACGTGAAATACCGAGAAGTTTTACTATTGGAGTCAGAGTCGCGATTTTGTTTAGCAACTCCAAACATGTTGCTACTCCGAATAGATGATTTTAAAAATCATCTAATTAGCACCTAATATGAGTTTTATTAAATTTATTTTTTTAACGCTTGTTTTTCACTGTAAGCTTCTAATCAGTCAGAATAGGTGCATAGTTGCGTAAGAAAACATTATACATAAGGTAAACATTGTGCCCAATTACAAAAGAAAATGTTATACATTTAATAAGTATTGTTAAATAAATGCAACAAAAGAAAACATACATAAGATAAACATAAGGATGGTTCTAAAAACAACATTTTTTGAAAATGTCTGATGGCAACCCTTAAATGTGTTCTATATAATAAATTAATACTGCAATTAAACAAATTTTGAACAAAAAGATTTTTTAGGGTTTACTCAAAACCCTTAAACATCAGGCAGGTCCCTAATATTTTGAAAAAAAAAGTTCTTTAAAAGCATATTATGTTGGGTCTCAAAAGAAATTACTATTTTTGAAATTTTATAAAAATTTCAAAAGTAGTAATCATTTTATATAAAGATTACTGATTTAAATTTTATGGTTGAAAACTATCGTTTTTGATATATCAAAAGAAATGAAATTGTATAAAACAATAATCATTTTATATAAAGATTACTAGTTTAAATTTTATGGCTTAGAAACTATCGTTTTTTTAACAAATAATAAAAAAGTACATCTTTTCATATTTTTATAAAATAAACTTTTTTAATTTGTGTTTTCATATAAAAATTTTATTATTTTAGTTTTTTTTTTGTTTTTGTTTTTGTATTAGTTGCATATTTGCATAGTTTGCATATTTATTAATTTTTTTATTAGTTGCATAAGAAAACATTATACTTAGCAACAATTGTAATAGAAAAATGTTTCATTTATTTTCTTAAAATTTTCACAATTTTATATATATATATATATATATATATATATATATATATATATATATATATATATACATATATATATATATATATATATATATATATATATATATATATATATATATATATATATATATATATATATATATATATATATATATATATATATATTTTATATTTAGATAATTATTTTATATATATATATATATTTTATATTTAGATAATTATTTTATATATATATATATATATTTTATATTTAGATAGTTATTATATATATATATATATATATATATATATATATATATATATATATATATATATATATATATATATATATATATATATATATATATATATATGTTTAGATTTTAACTTATTTATTGACTATTGTTCTGGAGTCAGAGGAACTATCACAATTTTATGAGGAGTTGGCAAATGAAAAGCATGAAGCTTTGTTAGTATTAATGATAATAGTATTAAACCTTGTGCTTTTTTTTTTCTTTACTATAAAAAAAAAATTAATTTATATGTTAGTCGTGTTCAGGATGCACATAGAAAAGATGTCTGTAGACTGAGAAAAGAGAGGGAGAAAGATAGTGAGGTATTCTGTTTCTTGATATTTAATTTTCTATAAATATTATTTTCTATGCCTATTGAAAAACAATGAAAGTTATTTTTGTTTTTATTATTTAATTGCTGTGATTTTTAGTTTTTGTTTTTGTTTTTATAAGAGTTCTGTTGGCTCTATTGATAAGTTCACATTGAAAGTTGCTTCTGAGGACCCACACAAAATCAGTGATTATGAAGACCCTCAAAATTCACCTAGTGGTTCCGAGAGCAAAAATGATTCAGTAAAGCTGCTATTATATTTTTATTTTATTTTGTGATTTTAAATTCTTATAATTTTGCATTATGTTTTTAACCCTTGTGTTCACAACCGAGTAAATTTGTAATTTTGTAATATTATATATTAATAGATAATATTTTCCTTTGGGCTTTTAGATATGCCTTATGTGACTCAAATTTAAGATAGTGCTGCATAAAAAATAATTAAAATTGAAGTGAACATGCTTTGTGGATGCAATTGTACACACCTTTGTACACACAGTAAGAAATCTCAAGATTGGTTGAACTTATAGACTCAATTATCAATTTGCTACATATATTTAAATAAAATATAAAATTTGTACAAAAAGTTAGCTAAAAAATATGTATATATAACATTCAACCAACATGAACCAAGTTCATCACACACAGTATTATGGCATTGAGAGCAACTTCTTTTTGTTTTTCTTCTCTTCTTTTTATGCTGTGGATAACAAATATAGTGAGAACCAATAACTTTTTTTCATCCAAATGAATCTCTTTTAACCTATGAAACTAAAGTTGGATATACTAAAATACTTTGCTGTTAAATCACACTTTCAATAGCAATCTTAGTACTGTAATGCCTTCTTACATACAAGTTTTGATAGTAAATGTTTATCATTGGTTTAGCAAGCTCTTCACTTATTTGGCGCATAAACAACCTTTGCTGATTGTTTTTTTTTTAAGTATCTTGTTATTTTCATAATAAATCAAATACGATGCAAGTGTACAAACGTCAAACATGTTGAAAAACATTACTAGTAAACATCTCAAAGTACAACATTTTGTAGTTATCTACTTATCATTTAGTCTATGGTAGCAATCTCTGTTTTGTATTTGTTATAATAAGTAATATGGTGTGGCATTTTTTTTAGATCCCTATTTACTGTGATTTTATTTCAGTGATTTTAGTTAATAAAAAAATTACTAATTAATTTTTTTTCCATATATTAGAACAAAGTGTTATGTTTTCATGGAAACCAAATATAGATGAGTATAATTATTTTGAATTATTTTTACCCATTGTTGGTGAAATGTATGGTTTGTTTTTTCTTTTGTGCCAACAATAATCAAATTTCATGAGAGCAATAGTTGAGCAAGAGATAAAGTAGTAAAATTATCCAAAATACTTCTACTACCTTGGAGTTCTTTAAAAACTTTTTCGCCTTGGTTTTTTACTTGTATATGACCAGTTTTATCTCTGTAAATGTTACCATTAAGAGGAAAATGCATTTTCAGCATCACAAATCCACCATATTTTAATGCTATATTTGACTAATTTTGAGTTAATATAATGGGTAAACTTTGTATGACCACAAAAAAGATAAAATTGTTCATCTACTATTAAATTTTCTGTTGGCTCATAGATTTGCGATTTTTGTTTAGCATTGTTCAGATTTGGAGCTACTTTATCTGTTATTTCATGCTGCTTGCACGTATTGGCATCTTTAAATCTAATCAAATGCATGTTTCGGAATCTATTGATTCTCATTGTTGCTCGATACAGTGGGTATAAGCTGGAATCCCACATTGTTGCTCGATACAGTGGGTATAAGCTGGAATCCCACATTGTTGCTCGATACAGTGGGTATAAGCTGGAATCCCACATATCGCTAACATGATCAGTATTAGAGTTATTTACACCAGAACAAATCAAAATAGCAATAAAAGAATATGTTTCCTAAATTGTAACTGGCTTTAATTCTCTTTTTGAATCTGACTTAAGATTGAGTGTTGAGTATACCAAGAATGCTTTTTTATTTGTCAAGTAATGATATCTGCCATTTCCACAATAAATATCTTTAAAATTATATAAAAATTTTAAAAATACGAATCATTTTATAAATAAATTAGATTTTAATAATTAGAAAATGATATTTTTCAACTTAAAACAAAAAAAGGGAATTCAAAAAGATTTTTTTTATTATAATTTTTTTCTCAATTTTTTTTTTTTAATTTTGATTACTTTTGAAATTTTATATAATTTTGCTTTATTTGAAACCCAACATGACATAATTTTGGAAAACTTATTTTTTGATAATATTAGGAACCTGTTTGATGTTTAAGGGTCTTGTGGCACCCTTAAAAAAAATTTTTCCAAAAAATTTTTAAATCCAATGTTGTTTAATTATATAGAATACATTTAGAAGGTGTTAGCAGGCATTTTCAAAAAAATTTGTTTTAGCACCACCCTAATATATATGTAAATGAAGTTTGCTCTGACTTTATTAAAACCTGATTTATAAACATAATTATCATTATTCGAAACCTTATGCTCATCTAACATATTACTAGGCATCAAATCACCATCCTTGCTGTCAAAGTTATTGCTAGAAAAATTACTGTTGGCTCCTAACAATTCAACCAAATAGGTCTTATTTTCCATGTCTCATAATCTAAGATAATTATATAGTTTTACTTATTATTCAATATTGTGATTCTTCTATAAAATAATACCCTTCAATTATATTTATTTTACCTTTCAAATTATGCTATTGATAATTTCTTCATAACTCTGTATTTAATTTTTCCATCACTATAACTTGAATGATAATTGAAAAGAATTTTGAATAAAGCAATCTACAACAATAAACAATATAAAGTAAGTTAAATTATTTTGCATAGAATTTACATTTTAAAGCCTAAAAGCAAGAGTTGGGTACCCTGGGTACTCATCTAACAATATTGGTAAATTTGGTTGTGTACACAAGGGTTAAATACTTTAATAAAAATAATGTAAAATAAGATTAAAACTTTCTAAAATTACAACTTCAAATATTTAATGGAGCTTTTATTATCAATTAAAAGTTTTAGTAATAAATATTTCAAACATGTTAGGCAAATCCTTATCATGGTAAAACTAAAAGACAAATCGAAGTTCTCAAAGCAGAAGCAGAACTAAATTTACAAAAGAAAAAAGATCTTGAAAGGTGAGTATTAAATTAGTCTGTTGATGTAGTACATGATACATCAACACATAAACACATTGTGTTACATGATGTAAAATGTGATACATCAGCACACAAACACATTGTGTTACATGATGTAACACAATGTGTTTGTACACAAGGTGCTTATATACTTTTTATACTTCTTATATAGCTTGTTTTATTTCAGAGTTAATTGCAAAATATTTTTTGTATTGGAAAAAAATTCTTTTTAACTATTGTAGACTTGCAACCAATATTTCCTGTTTTAATTTACATGACATAAAGATTTTGAATAATAACAATTAACATTCATATTACCTTTTGCCCTACCCTAAGATATTCTTAAATTATTTTTCATGTTTATACATAGTTAATAGAATTATATATATTTGCCTCATATATAAAAAAAAAATACTGTTACTGTTCCTCTGCAAATAACAAAGTTTTATGGCTTCACATCCCTGAAACATATTGGTTTTTGCCATTTGTCATGTACTTTTTTGATTCTGGGTACGTTCTTCTTCAGTCAAAATTAGTTTGGACATATCAAGTTTACCACTATTAACAGGATCAAGTTTCTCATTATTGATGGTATCATAACATATACTATCTTCATTATTTATAACTATACTATGCTCAGTTAGGCATTTGTTTATTTGGTCACAGTGTGCTAATGTACCTGAAGAATTATTCTTCAATATGATTGCATTGTTTTGCCCAACCTGAAAGATAAATGAAGTAGGTTCAGGTTGTGAATCTGATATTTGGCAATACCATAAGGGTGGTCCACTTTCAAAGCTCATGGTAAGAGGAAATCTTGACTGTCTTCCCATCATCTGGGAAGAACTTATCTTTAACTTATCTTAACTTATCTTTCTGCATGAGGTATTGTTATGTAATTTAAAAGCATTCTACTTAAATATCCATATAATAAACCTTTATTTGGTAAATAAGCTTTTAAACCCAACTTGACTGTCTCTACCATTCTTTCAGCTGCTCCATTAGATTGAGGATGGTAAGGTGGGATCTTATAAGGTAAGCGACCTATTTTCTTCAGCCACTGGTATAATATGGTATCGTGAAATTATTCTCTATTATCCTTTAAAAAGGTGAAAATGTGATCTTCAACTCTTCTCCTTATTTTATTTTTTAATTTTCATTTCTTGATGGTTGTAAAATGTTAAATATACCCATTCCTGGTCTGCAAAACTGGTTAACACCTAAAAGGGCATTAGGTGCCTAACCTATTAAACCTATTTAAACCTATTTTAAAAAAAGTCCTCTATTTTTATTGAAAATTTTGTACCTTTGCAAAATAAAATCCTTTAAATTAGATGCAAAATCTCCTCTAAAATCCTCTAATATCCTCTTTTTTTTAATAAAAATTTTGTGTGCCCACCCTGCATCATCAACACAACAACAACATATAGAGGTACACCACCAAAATTTGTCTGGGCTTTGTCTCTATCCAATATACGTGTAAACTGTATATATAGACATATATACAGTTTACACATATAAAGACAGGAATAGTGTCTGATTTTGCTGTCTGCTAAATGATGCACAAATGCTGTACAAAAAATAAACATACGTTTCTCAACTGAAACTGACAATATCACTTTGCTTATAAGAAAAAGAGTAATGTGAGGCTCAGGAAGTTTTGAATTATCCAGGACCTTCTTAATCGATTGGCAGTGTTGTTTGCTTTTGGATTTAACTATTGTTATTAATTTAATTGTTTCTGTATATTATTAGATAGTTTATGAATGTAATAAAGAAATGTTTTTATTCAATATTATTCCGGAGTGTTCCTCTGAGATAATATTGGAATATTATTCTAAATCTCAAATTATTTTTGAAATTACAAATTATAAAAAGTAAATTGTAATCCAATAAATCCAAATTATAAAAAATCTCAAAACACTATGATGGCAAATGGGAGCTTTGTTTTTGCTTCGGGCTAATTCTATCATTGCAAAACAAAGACTTTTATAGATTTTTTACTTTTATAGATTTTCAAGTTTTATTTCAAAAACAAAAATTTTTAAAGTTGGCAAACCTGGGCAAAATTAGATCATAATTTTATTTGTAGCAATCTTTTGTGCACGCAAAAAATTTTTGTTTTTTCAAGTTTTAATTTTAAAATATAAAGGTGAATTCAAAGCTCCTGTTCTATTCAAAAATACACTGATGGAATAGAATGTTTACCATTCTATTCTTCTAGTGTATTATAAAACTTCTGAGTTTTATAATACACTAGAAGAGTATTATAAAACTTCTGAGTTTTATAATACACTATAAAAACTGAGCCTTTTGTTTCTTAAAATATGACATAAATCCAGAATTTACAATTCAAACAAGCAAGAACATATAAGTATATGTTATAATTTTGTAATGAATCGTTTGAATTGAAGTTGTGTTGGTTTGGTTTGGTTGGTTCTTTTCAAATATATTTTTAAAGTTTTAATCAATTTTTGATTTCTATTCCCTATGGGAAACAATTTGTTCCAATAATTTGGATTTTTAGTTAAACAATCATTCAAAAAAAAAAAAAAATTATACATTATTTAGTATGTTAATTTTAAGACAAAATGTGCAAAATAAAGAAATAAATATCACTTAAAGATGAGTGTTTTTTTTTTTTTTAAATGATGCAAGATAATAATGATGAAAAATTAGAATCAATACTTTTAAATTTTTCAGATGACTTCTGATTGTGGATTTATTTAAAGCAAAATCTGAATGAATTAAAAAACTCTCTAATGATATAAACTGATCTAAAATCTCCAATTTATTTCAAGTTAGGTTATGAGGAGTTTGTCTTCCTAGTGATAGTGTCACAATAAAAATACTCAGTTCTAATCTGCAAAACAGGTTAAAATTAGAAAACTTTTCATTCTAATTAGTGGTTTCTAAGGTAAGACCTCATAAGTTACTCTAATTATTAGATGACCAGTCGAACAAATCGATAAAGTCTTGAATACATTATGTTTTTTAAATTTAATTTGTTGAACCTGAGTTTACAAACTAAAAGAAAAGAATAACTTAAAAATTAGATTGACAAAATAATTTCTTATTGTCTTATTAAAAAGAATATGCAAATATATTTAATATATTCTTATTTCACCTAAAATAACCATGAGAGATCAATTTTTAGACAATTTAGGTTTATTAGATGCTTAGAAGGTAAGTTAGTTAAAAAGTGCACTTGCCAAGTTAGTTAAAATCAAAAATATAAATTGTAATTTAAATTTTAATGTTTTAATTGTTTTGTTTTTATATAGAAAACAAATTGAAGAGAGAGAAGATGTAGACAAGATGAATGCAAGTATTGAACAGCAAAATATAAAACGAGTTTTAGTAAGTTGTATAATATTTTCTAATAGTTTGTTGAATGTTTGAGAATTTAAGTAATAAGAGGATATTAGTTACTTTTTTTAAATGTTAGAGAAATTAAGTACTTAAAGTTTGTTACTTTCCTGTATCTAAAGCATCTATCTTCTTCAAATTAAAACTGTTTTTGCCATCATCTTTTATGTACTGTCATTTATTATAGTTATTTTATATTTACTTGTTTTACATATTTAGATTTGAAATTTTAAAATAAATCCTAATAATAATTTAAAATTTAAATAAAGTTTTTTTTCAATTTATTTTACCTATTTAATATTTATTTATAAATTTGTATACTTGAAAAACTGGTTTAAAAATATTTAAAGAAATGTTGACCCCTATCAGGCATCCCCAAAAGTGACAAACTATAGTAATTATATATATATATATATATATATATATATATATATATATATATATATATATATATATATATATATATATATATATATATATACAAATATTTTAGCCTGAGCCTTGCATGAAACATCGTTAATAATGTTATAATGAAATTATCATCTGTGGAGTCTTTTTTTATTATTATTATTATTATTTTTTTTTTAAAACTGTCTGATTTCAAATCAGCATTTTAAAACTTATGGTTTGTAAAATACACTAGTGTACACCTAAAATCTGCTAAAGTACTCTACTCTACTTTTGCACTGTACTAATATATCTGCATGCCTAAATTTTAAAAATAATTGTAAATATTTTTACAGTTACACACATTTATAGGAGAAAATTGATGCCTCTGTGTTTCAAGAGCTTAACAGGCTTTTTTCCTTTTTTTTTTTTCTGTTCTTTAAAAGTTTTAATTTTCTCCCTATTTATTTATTACAAAAAAATAGTTTTTATATTTTATCAGATTAAGGCTAATTGTATTTTTTGTATTTTGTAGTAATAACAATGGTTCATGCTAATATTCCACTAAGTTAACTAAAACAAGACAATTTATAGTGATTTGTTCCAATACCTTTCATTTCTTTCAAAACAATGATTGTATTATTACTCTATATCATTGTTTTGTATACTATTATATTATTATATTGTGTTATTATTTTATAAAGCTTTTTTTTTTTTAATTTATTTATTTTTATTTTAAATGTAATCTTAATTAAAACTTCATTTTTTATTTACAAACCAGTTTTAATTTACTTACCCCTTCAAACTAAATTATATGATTACATAAATGAAACTCCTATCTCCATCTGCAAACGTATTTAAATTTTAGCTTTTGTCTCCATCTGTAAATTATTCTATATTTACCCCTTCTTTATCTCTAAACAAATTTAAACTTTTTTTTTAATAAGATATTTTTAATTCAAATTTAAACAGTTCTAATAAAAAGATGTATTTAATTATCCAGGAAATTTCACACCAATGCAAAAAAGTGTTGAGGCTTGAACCGCTTGGCTATGATCGCTTTTTTAGAATATATTGGCTATTTACTGGTGGTACTCCTGGCTTGTATGTTAATGGGGCAGAGCTTCAGTCAATTAATGGAACTGTTTACGGACCAGATTGGTAAGTTTTATTTTGTATAAGTTTTTTTAATTATTCAGTTAACTTGATTACTGTTATTTATTTTTTTAGCTGGATGTACTATGACAACATGGCAGATGTTGATAACCTAATTTCTTCACTAACAATTAGGGGTCATAGGGAGTCAAAGTTGAAAGCAAATCTACGATATAATTATGCTAAAATAAAAGAAAGTGTTTCTTTACTGGAAAACTCAATGTATGTTTTTTTTTTTTTTTTGTAATGTTAATTATATTATTTAATTAAAAATATTTTTTTTTAGAAGTTATACTCTTTAAATTATGTAAAAATCTATTTTTGACTTTTTTGACAACAATAATATTCAATGAATCACTAATCAATATTCAATGAGTTTATTTGTATTTACATAATTATACAAAATTAATGTGATGGCAACAAGATCTTCAACTGAAGTGGCACCTAATGAAAAATCAACTGATGGTTTATCTACAGCAAGGCAGTAAATCTTATTTACTACCTCAAAAGAATGTTGTTTGCATATTATTTTATTACCACCTTGAACAGCATGGTGTTATTTGCCAAGTATCTGTTTAGCTCCAGAAGCTATAGTGAAAGTTTGGGAAAGTGGAAGAATTCCAACACAAAGAATAAGCAAGTAATAAATAATATGATTTTATGTTATTAAAAAAACTGTGCATCACGTCTGTTACTACACTATATTGTAAAAGTAGATGTTTCAAAGCAAATTTGGAAAATCTGTTGACAATTTTGACAAAAAATGCTCTCAAACTTATAAAGACAAGGAAGATAAAACAATTCTCTTGTTTTATCTTCCTTGCCTTTATCAGTCACATTCAATAAAGAAGAAGTCAGGGGTTCTGTTCAACAGTGATGTAACATCATCTTTAAATTGTGTTAATATATCTGATCATTGAGCAAAGTTTGTAGACGAACTTTCAGTTTTGAACAGCATGCAGTAGCAAGCATGTTATAACCTACAACATGCTTGCTGCAAAAATAGGAAAACTCTAAAGTGGTCAGCAAAACTGCATTTCACAGCAATGATCTACTTCTCCTTGATTGGGATGGCATGCTTCTTCCTGACTTTATAGTCATAACAGTAAGATCAAAAGAGTGGTTAAATTTGTAAATGCAGATGACAAAAAAAAAACTTTGCAGTTACAAAAATTTCTGCAGGGACTGGTGAGTAACAGGTAATTGCTCGTTTGCAGAAACTTAAATGAATGGAATCTTCAATCTCAGGTTCAAAGGTTAGATATACTTTTTTTAACATACACATACATACTGGTATGTAATTAACTAGAATGCTTGTTTAGATTCGCTGTAGACAAAAAACAGAATAAAGAAAGTTTGAAATCATGCTTTCCAGTATTTTCAGTACTATATTTGGTTTCAGTGCAAAACCAGCTGTAGGAGTCTTTAATGTTTTAAGAAACAATGAATCAAAAATGGATCAGGACATTTTTATACCTACCAGTGATTCACTTTTCTGTGTACCTGAACTACTCAACCTTTGAAAAAAACAGCTCCTATGGATGATTTTAAACTGCATGCATGGCTTTAATCTTATCCTGATCAAATCATAAGGAATTTTGTGTCATAGGCATTCAAATGCCATCTTTGGTATCTCTTGGAACATCATGTTGGTCTTTCTTTCTTTGATTTGGAAATAGATAATAATGTCAAAAAGGCAATAGCTAATAACCTGCATAGGCCTTCAAAGGCAAGCAATCTGTAGGGACTCAACTTAAGTTTGATTTTAATACTACATTATATGATTAATATCACTGATTATTATATATATATATATATATATATATATATATATATATATATATATATATATATATATATATATATATATATATATATATATAATGCCAATGCAAAAGCCGACCTGAATATCCTAAAGTGTCGGTATGCAAATTGAAATACATGTAAAAAATATATAATATTTGTTAAATATTATTTTATAATTTTTTTATTGTAATTACTTGCTTTTCAAGTTTGACATGTTTTATTAAAACGAAAATTCATTCATTTTTTTTTAATTCATTTTTTTTTTTTTTTCTTTCTCAAATTATTCAAGCATAATAAAGTTAAAAAATATTACTTTTAAATGGAAAGTTTAGCCTTGTTATAGTTATGTTAGGCACATGCGGAGAAGAAACACTAGTTAAAAAACTTTTTTTAATTTGATAAAAGTTAAGACTTCCATTAAATCGCAACAGATGCAACAGTAATACAGTAAGCAAACTCAAAATGATGTTTATATATAAGAAAAAGAAACTATTTTTAGTATTTTTAACTTTTGTTTTCCCTCCATCAATTTACATATAGTTACAAGTTCATACTACACTACTACTACTGGAGAATTTAATGCTAATTTCTTGTAGAGATTAAACAACCGGATGTAAACTGTCTACTCATTTTGTTAAGCAATTTGCAGTTTTAAACAAAATCTTCGCCTACAGCATATAAACTAAATTTGAATTTCTAAACGACGTTCTTTCTATGAGCAATTTAATAAACCAATTAAAATTTAGTAAATAAACTATAATCTTTTTATTCTGTTAAATAAACAACTTCAAAACTAATTTACTACACAAAATTTAATTGCTACGTTCTTTAAAGTATTATTGTCTAAAGCTATGCTATTATAAAGCAATCCTTTTATAATCAATTAATCATTACCCCTATCGTAACAGAAAGCAAAAAATCTTTTTTTATATACAAAAATTTTTTTTTTTTTTGCCGACCTGATGTTGGCTTTCAGGTCAGCACAATGTGCCGACCTGAAATCCTTTGAATTTTGCTGACTATATATATATATATATATATATATATATATATATATATATATATATATATATATATATATATATATATATATATATATATATATATACAATATATATATATATATAATATATATAATTTAATTTGAAGTTTACGCCCAGAGGTTGGGTGTGAACCACAGATCCTTTGATCAAGATGGTTTAATCAAAATGTTTTTAAAAAGCTGATGGCTGATGAGTGCCGAAAACGGCATGAAACTTTAAGTACCGTAAAAAAGTTGTTTTTTCTCATCTAACCTTTTATTTATATATATATATATATATATATATATATATATATATATATATATATATATATATATATATATATATATATATATATATATATATATATATATACTTATATATATATATAATATATATGTATAATATATATATATATATATATATATATATATATATATATATATATATATATATTTATATATATATATATATAAATATATATATATATATATAATATATATATATATAATATATATATATATATATATATATATATATATATATATATATATATATATATATATATATATATATATATATATATATATATATAAAGGAAATAAAAAGAGATAAAGAATAATGAAAGAATGATCACTATCACATGTCAAACCCTCAGTTGATGTAGTGGCACTCCTTTGGGGCAACAGGCTGTAAGATAGTTGACTGAAACTCCAGGCAACAGGCTATTTCAGTGCAAAATATATATATATATATATATATAATATATATATACATACATATATGTATATACATATATATATATATATATACATATATATATATATATATTTTTATATATATATGTATATGTTTATATATATATATATATCCACTGCCGCTCACGGAAGTTAGGACAATAGGGATTTTTCAAAAAAGTAATTTTAATATGTAATTACTTTGTAATTAATATAATAATGTAATTTATTTATTTATATTGACCAGAATACATTTATATGGTTTTATTCAAAACAGCTACCTCTAAATATTGTTCAAATTGCTTCAAATTCTGTCAATCAACAAAACTACTGAATGAGGGAAACTTTGAGGAGAATAACAATTTAAAAATGTATCCTACTTATATAGGACTTAAGACTAAAAGAATGTATAGGACTTCAAGTTATTTTCGTTTTTAAAGGACATTATCATCAACAAATTTATTTCAATCAGAAAAAAGTTTAAATATCAATTAAAGTTCATCTTGTAAAAATACTTAAAATGTTTAATGTTGTTCTTAACAGTTTCATGTATCATGTGACTTGTTAACTCAACAGTTTTTATTTATATAGTGTGTGACACAACATTTTGAGTTTACAGTTTTATTTATATAGTGTGTGATACAATCACTTAGAGTTGCACAAGTTGTATCTTTTAATTTTTTTTTTAAATTACTCAACCAATTGAAAAAACTTATTTTATTTTTGTTGTTGGATTTTTTTGTGTGTCAACTTGTTCGGTACAAAACATTTTTTTGCAAAGCTGCTGCAAGCAATTATGCCATTTTCAATCTTTTTTCGAGTTCCTTTTAAATTTAATTATTTAGGGTCAGTGCACTAAATAACAGGCGGTCAATGGTCAATGACTGCCCCAAATGATCAAAGTTCCAGTTTTCGATTTTTTAATGAAATTGTTTTAAAAAACCTTATAAATTTTTGCCACAATTTGTAAAGTCAATGCAATCATTTCATTACAATGATTTCAATGTATTGCATTGAGATAAACTATAAATATCATTAAACTATAAAGACCATTAAATCAATTAACTTTAGTAATTTTTATTGTGCTTTTATAAAACTGTGGTCTTATTTTATTGAATATTTAGTTTTATTTTAATTTTTTTGTGCACTAAAATCTTGCACTAGATTAGACTTATTATCATTGCTTGTTAAAATTTCACATTTTCTACAGTATTAGCTACACTAGGTTTCTACTTGAAATCGCTTAGTAATAAAATTTATAATTTTAAATGCCTTTATGAATTGTAAAGCATAAGAGGGTAATAAACTACAAAAAATTTTGCATGTTTCATTATTAGTTTTATAAAAGTTTAATTATATTATATAAAAAATTTAAACAAGTTATTATAAATTAAAAAAAAAAAAGATTTAAAATAAACATGAATAAAATTTTATATTATTGTTATATCTGTCAAGGTTTTTAATTATGGGTTGTTGTCCGGAGGTGTGTATCTCTAAAAACCTAATTATAATAATAATTTAATATAGTGAATATAATGTTATATACTATATATAAATATATATATATATATATATTTATATATATATATATATATATATATATATATATATATATATATATATATATATATATATATATATATATATATATATATATATATATATATATATATATATATATATATATATATATATATATAAGCACACACACTATGTATAAATATGTATATATAAATATATATATATATATATATATATATATATATATATATATATATATATATATATATATATATATATATATATATATATATATATATATATATATATATATATATATATATATATATATATATATATATTAAAAATGACAAATTTTAGTAATAATGATTCAACCATTTAAAAGTAATTTTGAATTTTTTTTTTAATCAAGAAAAAGAACTCAAGAACATATAAAAAATGTTATAACAACATCGAAAAAGAATGAGACTTATTCCATCAATCCTCCAATGTTATTAACAGAGATTTCAAGTTTAAATTGTAATTCTGATGTAAGTTCTGTTGAAAATCTTGATGCTAAGCATAGCAATAGACAGGTAGAAGAAGAACAGCAGGAAGAAAATAAAAAAACTGAAGAAACTATAGATACTAAAAACTTTGTTACACATAAATCAGAAGATAATTGTTCTGTTCTTATTAATGGCAATGAAAATGACAAAGAAAAATCAAATATGGAGTCAAAAATATCTTCTGATTTTGGTGATAGCTTACATTCTATTCAAGAAAATATTATTAATGGATTAACAGTCTTGAAAAGCCAATCTTCTACATCCAGAAACAGTAATGAATCGTCAGATAACAAGAAAGAAGAGACTATTGAAGAAGATGCCCATTTAGCATCAATAAAGTCTCTTAAAGAGGTAATTTATTAGGTATTAAACAGGCTTGGTCAGGAAGCGGGAGCGATCGCTCTCGATTGCTGACCACGTAAATAATATTTAGTTGCGAAAAGCTGGCCAGATTTTTTAGCCGTTTTGAGAACATTTTAAAAAGCAAAAAAAAAAAAAAAAAAAGCGACTAAGATTAATTGGACCGATGAGAGACAGTTATAAACAAAAAAAACAATAGGCAAATAAAATATCTTTAAACGCAAAAAAATCTTAAAGCTAAATAAATTACATTTAGAACAAATATTTTCGAAACATCGCTCTTTTACAATTTTTTTTATAAAATTAAGCGATGTTTTTTATATAAAGTAATAACTTAGATTGTTTAAAAGGGAAACAAATATTCTTTATTTAACTAAGTTTGCAAGTTTTAGTTTTACTTAAGCTTAATTTATTTTATAAATAAAAAAGTTAATTTTTTTAATACCTATTTTATGTTTCGCGTAGTTTGAAAAGTTTAACATATTTAAAGCGATTCTTCTTAGTAAGATAAACAAATGAAATAATTAAATCATTGAATTACTATAGGAATTAAATTATCAAGATAGAAATCAATTAAAAAGGTTAAAAATACTTAATGACCAGGAAGCGAAACTGCTTCACAATATCGCTGATGATGTTTAGTGAGTGGGCTTTTTAATTTTAATAAGTATTTAAAGCAGCAAAAAGTATAACGAGTTTTAAGAATGGCAATTTAAGCGAAAATAATTAGAGTTAGTAAACCTATATCTAGAAACTTTTCTTTAAATCTAATTATTTGCTATATATATTTGTGTTCTGTCGTGACCTCAGGCGCGATGCTTGTTCATCCGCGAGTTACTTTGTATGCGTTGTTTGTGTTTAGTAACCAGAAACTTCTTATATGTTGTTACATAATTAGTTTTATTACCTTTAACGATTATAACTTCATTGAAAACACAATTATTTTTGTAAGTCTTTGTTTAAATCATGAAAATTGTTTTAAAAGATACATTACGATAAAAAACAAATACACAAAATTACATTTACATAAAGAATACAATCTCTTTTAAAATAAAAAATAAGAATATACTAATAAAATCTATGATTTATAATAAACTTTTAAAATTTTGACAACTTAATTAATATATATTTAAAACATTTATTTTTGTAAACAAATAATAAATATTTTTAAAACAATTTATGCTAGAAATCTCAAAACGTAACATCGTGAATAATACAAATTCTAAAACATTTCAACAGAATACTCTAGAACTTTATTTCGCTTAATCAGCGTATTTTTTGAACCAATAGAATTAGTTTGTTCGTTAATTTGGCGGGTTTTTAGTGTTCGCAAATATTCTTTTTATTCTTGCGCTCAAAGAACATTCAAGTTTTTTATGTTTCCATGTATGTCCGTAAAACAAAAATTTTTTGTTTCGTACATAAACTTAAATGTTCTCAAAACGACTAAAAAACCTGGCCAGTTTTACGCAACTAAATATAGTTTCCGTGGTCAGTATTCGAGAGCGATCGCTCCCGCTTCCCGACCAAGCCTGATAGTATTATAAATGCTCTCCGCAATATTTTTGTTTGTGAGCAAATTTTTATATTTTTGTTTTAGTTTTTAAAAAGTATTACTTGTTTGTTTGTTTTTTATACTGATATTTTTTAAGGTAATTACCAATTTATCAAGGTAATTAAAAAAATAAAAAGCCAGATATAGTATATTTTATGTTGTATAAGCTATGCTATAGTGCTATGCAATATAAACCCATAACAAGGATGTGAATTTGAATTTTTATATTTATATTTGGATTTATTTCTAGATTTTGAATTTGTTCAATATATATATATATATATATATATATATATATATATATATATATATATATATATATATATATATATATATATATATATATATATATATATATATATATATATATATATATATATATATAGACAGACCTCAGCAGGAAGCGAGAGCTTTAGCTCTCGCCCACACTCCCCTAAAACAAGTTACGGGAGCAATTTATGGCTCTCATTTATTAAAAGTTTTTAATAGCTAAATTTTTATCTTCAAAAAAAATTGAATTAAAAAATGAATTATGCATTTGGGTTCTAATTATATCATTGATTGTTTAAAGTGTTTGTAAAATAAGTATTCTAAATTGATACAAGTGGCATATGTGATACTATTCTGCATGCATGTTTAGATCATTTTTATGAAATATGCTTATACTATATTTTGGATTTTTTTAAATAATTTATTCTGTAGTTTTCTAGAAGTTGTGAAAAATTATGTTTAAATTTATAGGATGTAGCTGAGGCTGCAAGAAAAATTGTTGCTGGTAATTTAGGGGAACTTGATGAACCTGATGTAAAGGAATGGATTGATAAAATGGCTGCTACAAAACAGCTTCAGGAGATTGTGTGTAAATTTACCATTATTAAATTATTATTATTTTTGTAACTTATTATCTGTTTTATTACCATTTTTATTATTAGTAAAATTGTTATTATTTTTTATTTCTTTATATCTCAGAAAGAATACATATTGAAAATTCACACAACTGTATATCCTCGTTTTTTGAACCACTTTATGGCTTCTAATACTCAAAGTAACAATTTTGTTGATGAGTGGGTGAAAGCTGTAGAATCAGCTTTGACGCTATCAAAACTTCACACACTTTTTGGTGTATTTGAAAATAGTGTAAATTGGGATAAATCTTCTGAAAATTCAGTAAGTATTTTTATTGTCATTATATTGTTTTGATTTAGTAGAAACTCATAGGAAATACTAAATTTTAAATAAAATATGCTAAATATAAAATACTAAATATAATATGCAACTAGTAATGCATATTATATTAAGTTTTATGTTATGTTTTAACTCCTTTTACTTACTTTTAAGTGAGAAAAAAAATTATTTTAATAAAAGTTTTTAAAAATGTTTAAAAAATGTATATTGTTGTTACTGCTACTACTACTACTACTACTACTACTACTACTACTACTACTACTACTACTACTACTACTACTACTACTACTACTATTACTACTACTACTACTACTACGTCTACTACTACTACTACTTAGTAAGTGACTTGGGCCCCAGCTAAATATCTAAATATGGGATTTTTTACGATCTCGGCCATGGCAAAACTATAAGATTTAGCAGGGGTTGATAGCCAGGGCCAATTAAATTATAATTTAATTATAAATTAATTATAAATTGATGCATATTTGTACTATTTATTAAATACTGGTGTATATATATATATATATATATATATATATATATATATATATATATATATATATATATATATATATATATATATATATATATATATATATATATATATATATATATATATATATATACATATATATATATATATAATTTTTTTCCAACAAGGTTGCAAACAACTACTATTAGGTTTCGGAGTTATTAGAAAACAAAGGATATGGTTAAAGAGCAAGGATATGGTTGACACAAGACTTAAAAAGTTGTAGCTGAATGATGAGTCAAACAAGAACAAGTTTTGGCTGATTGAACTAGAGATAATTGTAGTATTTGTAGAAAAGATAAAGAGATGCAAACTTATGACAATTGGAGAGTGACTCAAGCTTGTCTAATAGTGAAAGGGTTGTTATTTGTCAAAAATTGTTATTTATGAATTATTTTAAAAACTGCAGTTAGAAATGGTTTAATAAACTCAAAAACTTTTTATAAAGAAACTAATAATAGAAAGAAGACTAATTAGAGGATAGTTGGAGAGGTCAGAGTGCTTTCTAGAGTTTCTAAAAATTAGACTTATTTAGCACTTATTAGTTTAGAGAGAATTGAAGAGTGTTCTTGAGAACACTTTTCTAAGACTATGATAAGTATATTGTGGACCACAAGATATAGAAAAGTTTAATTGATAATTGACTTAAGTATCAGAAGCCAGAAAAATTTGGGTAAACAATAAGTTAATCTGCTTAACTGGAATGGCAAGAAGAGTATGGCTTTTAGATTTTAAGAGAACAAAATTTTCAAGACCAAGGCCAACAGTTGCAAAGGTCTTGTTAACAACTCTGCAATTTAATATAGCAACTGCACAAGATAATGAAAATTATGGAGTAGAATGAGACTTGGCTTAAAGCATATTTAGTAGGGTTGGCCGGAAAAAAAAAAGTTCTGATTTTTGACTCACTATACTGCAAAAAACTTGTCTTTAGGGTACCTAAGGATAATGCAAAAAAATTAATAATAATATTTTACGTTTGGTAGCTCCAAACGTAAAATATTCTTTTTTTCTTTTTTCTTTTTTGCATTATTATAAATTATAAAAAGAAAAAATTTTTTAACAAATAAAAAGAAATTAAATACTTTAACAAATATCTAGAGACAATTTAAGTAGGAAAAAATATTGGAATGGTAAATAAGAAATCTTTTTTTTTAATTAAAAAATCATCTTTTTGACTAGGACTTTTTTGAAGAAATAAACTCTTTTACTTTTTGCTAATTTCTGTCGGTAGTTGAGGATCTGGAGTTATGCTTAGTTTTTATAATGCCATCTCTGGAATTGAAGCCAGCTACTTTTTGTGAATCCTCTGTTACAAGCTTTATGCATCGTTCTACTGCTTGGGTGTGACATGGAAACTTTTCAAAGTTTTACTCAACCGCTCTTTTACCTAATTAGATCTTTGACCAAATATCTTTATCTAAAACTCTTCACAGCAAAGGTGACGGCATAAGCCTAGTAGTGTTCCAGTCAATCATCTCTGTAAATTTGGTAGCAAGGAAATTAATTTTGGGTAATTGAAAACTCAATTATGAAAACTATAATTATGATCAACTTGATCATCATCATGTTGATCATAATGATATTTACATATGCATATATATACAAAATATAACATGAACTTTGAATAAAAAAAAAATACTTCAGGATGTATAAATGTTTTATGCAGCCCCAGTCACAAACCCGGCCCCGGTTATATTTTATCAAACCCAGCCCCTGCCCTGGTCAAATATTAACCCTGTTCAAATATTAACCCTGTTTACTTACTAGTATGAATGAGCTTTAGTTAAGGAAAAAAGATGCTTGAGAATGTTTATATTAGAGATAAGCTGAAATAACATAAAACACCATAAATAGCTGATGATGATCATTTTTTTTCTTCTAATTTTCTTTTAAAACATTAGTAATAGTAAATTTTTAAATCTTTTGTAGTGTATTGACTTAAAAAAAAGTAAAGATTAAAGAGACTATCGTTGTCTAAAAAAGTAGTTGTTTATAAAATTTAAATATATATAGGGGTGTATTGGATTGGAAATTTTGAATTCCGGCCGGAACTGGATTTGCCGGAAATCCAGCCGAAACAAGAATTATATTTATGTACCTTCAAAAAAAAATCCTGCACCTCAGCATCATGACTATAAATTGAAATATTTACTGTAGTAGGCATCCTATACTTTTTAATTATTTAAATATTTTCTCAGAGGCAGGTAACATTTTTGATGAAAAAAGAGCTAGTTTGCTGCTCAAAACTAGATAGCACCTCTCTTTGCATCACAATATTCCCAAATTTCTAGAAATCCTTACATAACTGATTACTGCAAGTATAAATTACATTGTGTTTCTTAAAAAGTTTGTATTTTTTACCCAGGTTTACCTATAGTTCTTTATTGCTTTGTCGGACAATGATTTTTTGATTTAATTTACACAGTATGTGTTACATGTCTTTTAAAAAAAGGTAAATTAATAAATTCCGACATTCTGGCATAAAATATTGTAATTCCGGCCGGAACTGGAATGACCTAAAAGTCACAAATTCCGACCAGAATTTGTGTACATCCCTAATATATATATATATATATATATATATATATATATATATATATATATATATATATATATATACACACTTACTAAAGCGTATTTTTATAAGCATTTGCTCACTTTTTTACTTACCTTAACCCATACGGCTTTTTTTAGAAAAAAAAAAGAAAAAAAAACAAAGAATGATGAGTAAAACAATTGCTGCCCTATCCCAAACCCTCAGTCAATGTAGTAGCACTCCATTGCGAGTCAAGCTATTTGTCAGTCGATGTATGTACTGAAGCCCCCAGCAGAAGGCTATTTCAGTATGACGTCAGATTACTTACCTTAGTACGCAATACTATTTGTATATATATATATATATATATATATATATATATATATATATATATATATATATATATATATATTTAAATAACACTTTTTATAAAAAGTACATGCTTATTTCTAAAATAAAAACTAAAAAATTATTTTTACAACTTTCATTGATACCTTAAACAAAAATTAGTAGTAGAAATTTGTTACTTTATTTAAAAGTGTTTCGCTAAATATAAAAATCATTAGTAAAAAAAAGATTACATTTTTACATTTTAAAAATGTAATAGCTGACCACAGCTATTTACATTTTTAAAATGTAAATAGCTGTGGTCAAACTGTCAAAATAAAGTTATTATTTACATGGTCATACAATGGAGTGCGATTGCACACCTTCTTATAAAGGCTTGTACTTCAACAACAACTACTACTAATACTAATTATAACAAATTAATAAAAATTTAATAGTTGTATAATATGTTGTATGGTTGGTAATGTTCAAATACTTGTAATAGCAGTAGTAGTAGTAGTAGTAGTAGTAGTAGTAGTAGTAGTAGTAGTAGTAGTAGTAGTAGTAGTAGCAGTAGCAGTAGTAGTAGTAGTAGTCAACCCTCGGAATTAGGGTCGACATTTGGCAATGCCGACCTAACTGCTGACCTGAAAGTGTTTGAGGTCTGCAATTTTTTGCCTACCTCAAACACTTGTTTCTATGCTTTATGGTCAGACCTTTGTATCAAATAATTTTCGGCGACCTGATGCCGACTTCATTTTTTCTAATTCCGAGGGTTGAGTAGTAATAGTAGTAGTAGTAGTAGTAGTAGTAGTAGTAGTAGTAGTAGTAGTAGTAGTAGTAGTAGTAGTAGTAGTAGTAGTAGTAGTTGTTGTTGTTGTTGTTGTTGTTGTTGTTGTTGTTGTTGTAGTTGTCAGGCCTTGTTATGAGATTTTGTTGCATAATGGAAAAGCATAATGCAAATATGTGTATTGAGTAAAGTAACTTTACTCAATATGCATACTTATATTGTAAAAATTTAAATTATGTCAGTTGTTTTATTATAAACTTCTGAATTGTAATTAAATTTAATTTGAAACCATGTTAAAAATCATTTAAAGTCTTTATCTTTATAAAATTTTTATGAAATGTCTTTAAGTTAAACAATGTTGTTATATAATATAAAAAATTCTTAATATAAAAACATACACATTATTGTTTAATGCTTTCTTACAACTGAGTTTTTTCGTTTTTAATGAGGGGACAATTGTTTATGTTTCTTAAAAAAAAAAATTATTAACAATTTTTTTTTTTAATATTGGCTGAAATGCAGGTCTGGAGACCAATGTCTTGGTCTCGAGACGCTTCGAGACTCATATTTAACTGTTTTAGTATTGTTCTTGAAGTCTAAAGTCTTGGTCTTAGTATTGGTCTTGAAAGCCTCTTGGTCTTAGTCTCAGACCTCTACTGTCTTTTACTTTCTTGATTCTTACAAAAAATATCAACCTAGTGAATGGATTAGTTATTAATAGCAAACTGTAAATTGCTGTACCTTCCCACTCTCGATGGGAGTTTCTTCATGTTGGTTTGACAAGGTTCTAACTGAAGTTTTATGTTAGAAGAATTAAAAAAAAAATCTTTTTGATGTCTTGGTCTTGGTCTTAGTCTTGGTCTTGGCCTTTACTATCTTGACTACATCTCTGAGTTTTGACTTTAAAAAAAATTTCGCCTACTACTCATAAACTAGTTAACCGTTTCTATTTAAGGTTTATTTCTTTAAGATTAATCGTTATGAAAAAACTTTTGTTAAAAAGTAATTTTAAAACTAAAAAGTTTCTTCCTGAAAAAAATTTTCAAAATAGTTTTGCCTACAGGCTTTATTATGGTTTATCCAGCTAAGCATTTATATACAGTTATAAGCGCATTAAGAACTTTTATATATTAGCACTTTTGTAATGTATGAAAAAAAATTTATTGATATGATAAACAAAATAGTTAAATGTAAAACGAACATGTTTAAATAATTCAATAAAAATAGTTTAATTCATTAAAAATATTTTTCTTTTCTTAAACATAGTTTAGAAATTTTAGCAGTAACAAAAAAAATTGTATAACGGGTCGTTTTAAATTCTTTATAAGGTTTAAATTTAATAAAATAAATTTAAATTTATTGATATTTGATAATAAATTTAAATTGAATATAACAAAATAAATTTAAATTGCAGATTTTTTAAAACAGGACAGTAGACAAAAATTTATTTAACTTTCTGATTTTTATCTAAAAAAATTATTCACGCTTTTTAACGAGGCCTGAGTAATAGTTGTTATTGTTGTAGTTATAGTAGTAGTAGTAGTAGTAGTAGTAGTAGTAGTAGTAGTAGTAGTAGTAGTAGTAGTAGTAGTAGTAGTAGTAGTAGTAGTAGTAGTAGTAGTAGTAGCCAATATATTGGTTGTAGTATTTTTTTCATATATATTAAATAAGCTCCAGCTCCAACTCTATTTATCCAGCCCTCAGAATTAGAGTGGGAATTTATTAGTGGTAAATAATGATGAGTGAAAACAATTTTTGTGGCATTTGTTGATACCTGCCTTCCTGCTTTAAAAATAGCTGCTCACTATATGCACTACTACCTGGAGATGATATGTAAATCTTAGCAAATTTTACTTGACTTGGATATTGTTTTGCATTCGCTGACCACCACTTGTAAGAGTCTGCATTTCCGATCTAGGCAAACAGTTTTTGTAAATAAATTAATATTTGTTTTCTGTTGAACTTTTCTGTTTGACATCTTCATCTGTGTGCGTGTTTTCTTTAGCAACTTCCTAAAAAAAATTTCAGAAACTATTGTGTATCTCAATTGTTTTATCATTTTTATTTAAAAAAAAAAAAATTTCTAAAGTGAAGATGAGTCATCATCAGTGCTACTAAACGTTTCAAAACTTTTTTTCAGAGCTTCTAAAAGAATTTTTTGCTTTGCTCTTTGAGTTTTTACAATACCCATGAAATCAGTTTTGAAGTGTGGCTCAAGAAAAGTTGCAACCAGATATTTGTCATTTTTCGTTAAAGTTGAACCGTGCTTCAAGTTCAGATTGAAGCAAAGATCTCATTGTTGATAAATTTTGTGTTCTCTGTGCTGCTTCTTCCTTTCCCAGGTATTTTAACAACGTGACAACATGTGGAATTGAAAGAGCTGGTTATTTTTGTAATTTCTTTAAATGATTTGAGATGTTTGATACATTGTTCCATTAACTCCAATTGAGCAGGTGTTAAATTGTTTAAAGAATCATCAGTTATATACAACAAGACAGCTCGCTTTTGCTCTAGTAATTGCTCTAATAAATAGTATGTTGAATTCCAGTGTGTGATTATGTCTTGTATTAATTGGTGGCCTGGCACCAGTTCTTGATGAATGCATTTTAGTTTTTCTTGTGCTATACTAGAGTGGTTAAAATAGGTGACAATTTGTCTTGCAGCAGCATTTGTGTTATTTCTATTTAAGAAATCAGCGATACATTGGCAACCAGTTATAGTAAATAAATAAAACACTTGGCAAAATCATATTTTGCATCTCATACACCTTTTATCATATTAGTGAACCAGAAAAAAGCTTCATTACTAAAACAGCATGTTTAAGAACAAAATCTGGAGATATCCAATGCGCAGTAAAATTTAAGAAAGTTTGGTTGTTGTGCTGACATGTCCACATGTCAGATGTCACAGATACTGCTGTTGCTTGTGAAATACTAGCTTTAATTTTAGTGCAAATTCTATTAAATATATTGGGGATAATTTTCTCAGTCATGTAGGTGCCACAAGGTATTTTGTATTGCAGTACTGTCTTTTCCATAAGCTTGTTGAAGCCAACTCGTTCAACAAGTGGTAATGGTTTATTGTCTAAGGCAATCATTACTCCAATTAAATAATGATGTTTTATTGATTTTGGATCAATAATATCCCAACACAATTTACTTTCAGCTGTCTCTTTAAGAGTTAACTGTTTCTTTTTTAACATACCTGTTATTGCTGGTATATTAGAGTCATTATAAGTTAGTAAACCGTCACTTTTGCATCCTTTTGCCAGCAGAGTTTCAGTTAAGTACTTAGCGTACTGCTCAGAATGCTTGTTTTGAAGGTGGTTTTTGAAAGAAGCTTAACTTAAGCTTAACTTAGAGTAAATAAAGTACTCTGCAAAAAAAAATAGTAATAAAATAATTACCAGCGTAAATAATTTGTTTTATTAAAATATATTTAATTAGTTATAATATACATAATAGTTTTACTTGCTTTCCACCACACAAGACCTTTTTACACAGCAAACAAACTGCTTGTATATTGTCTTCCCTACAAATTTCATAATAATTCTAAATAGGTAATTTTTTTATTAAAAGATGCCATTTTTTAAAGCGTTTTGCAAACAAAAATTTGAAATTACACAACTTTTATTACTTATTGTAGTTTTTCGCAAGCAACAATCAACAATCGAATAAGAAGTCTTTTATGTTTACTAAATTGACTTTTCGATTTAAATAGTTTTTGAAAGATAATTAGCTGTTGATGTATTTATACAGTTTTTAATAAAAATATTTGAGGTCTGTAATTTAAAATAATTATCAAACTTGTGAGTAAATAAATTGCATTTAGAAAATTCAATTCATTTATTTACAAATTCTAGTGACACTTATATTATAAATACAGTAACTACTAATATAAACTGCAAACAACACAATTACTACTAAATGCTCTAAAGCTTTAGCAAACAAAGTAATTACCACTAAATGCTCTAAACTATAGAATTACACTTTTTGTGTATGTATCAAACAAATTTTGATGTAACAAATAGTCCACAAATAACATGTCCAAACACGCAAATAAAATAAATACGCGTAATTACACGTAAGGTGACTACGGTATTAACTTTACTAATTCAGGTTGGAAACTGTCACCCATGAAATTTACTGAAAAAAAGTGTTACCGAATATTCAGCTATTCGGTGGTGAGCCAACTCGAATATTGGGTATTCGGTATTTTGCAAAATTACTATTTGTGGCATCACTAATGCTAACCTGATAATTTTTTGCTGACCAGAATTTTAAAACAATTTTATTTGCTATTAAATAAATTTAAAATGGCAACACAAACACTTTATTTAAAATTCAAATAATTTAATTTTATTTAAATTTTTGATAAAATGAATAAAATTGCATCAGCAAAACAAATGTTTCATTTAAATTCTAAATAAAATAATTAAAATAAAAACAAAAAATCAAACTTTTTTTTATAAAATCTGAACAAATTAATTTAAAAAACACAACATTGAAACAAACAATTTATTTATTTAGTATAATGTTTTAATTATTTTTTTTTAGAAATAAATTTCCAAATAAAATAATTAAAATAAAAACTATAAAATTAACGTATTTAATAATTTCTAAGTAAATGCAACAACACCAAAAAAAAACTGTTTTATTTCAATCCTTAATAAAACAATTAAAATAAACAGTAAAAACTTTTTTTATTTCTAAATGTTTTATTTAAGTTCCTGAAAAATTGGTAAAATGTTTATTTTGAAAGAAAAGTTAGCAAACTGTGTTTGTTTTTATTTCAATTTTATGCTAAATGTTTACAGTTTATTGATTTGTCAAACCTGTTTCTAAATTATGTGCCAACCTGACCTGCTAACTTAAAATAGTTTAAGATCAGCAGTTTATTGCTGAGCTTACTTTTTCTAATTCTGAGGGCTGTTTATCAAACTAGGACTAGTCAAAATTTTCTTTTCATTTCAGGCTGTTTTTTATTCTTTTTTATTTTTATTCCTTTCATGCAATTCAATCTTTCATCCTTAGTTTTTTATTGTAAAAGATAACTTGGTTGCAATTACAGTTAATGTTGTTTGTTTTTATTTTTTGTAAAAAAAAATACATTCTGGATATATTTTGATTTAGCGTTGCAAAATTTGTAATCGTGGAAAAGGTCGTTACCATAAGGATCATTTGGTCATTTGTGATGCATGCAGTTTAGCCTATCATTTGGCCTGCATTAAACCACCATTAAAAGAAGTTCCAGAAAGCACTTGGGAATGTCCTGAGTGCACAGTAAGGAAATTTTTATGAAATAGCTTTGTTAAACTTTTATCTTATAAAATTGCTATATATATATATATATACATATATATATATATATATATATATATATATATATATATATATATATATATATATATATATATATATATATATATATATATATATATATATATATATATATATATATATATATACAATCCTCGGAAGTGTTTGAGGTCAACAAAAATCGCCAGCCTTGTTTCTATGTTTTATGGTTAAACCTTTGTTTTACCTTTTTTCTGCTGACTTGATGCCGACCTCACATAGATTATTTTTCTTAATTCCGAGGGCTGTATATGTGTATATATATATATATATATATATATATATATATATATATATATATATGTATGTATAGTAATTCTTGGCCTTCCAGATGATTTATTAAAACCATCCTTGTGATACTGTACTATTACTGCACATTGATTAGTTGAAACAAGTGTTGTTTTGCCATTATAATAAAGTGTTGTTTTTACATTATAATAAAGTAATTAACATAAAAAAATTCAAATAATATAAAAAATTATTGCAAAAAAGATATTGCAATAATTTTTTAAAATTATTGCAATATCTTTTTTGCAATAATTTTTATAAAAAAAGTTTGTTTTCGCTATTTTATAAACAGCTATCCGATACCTGCTAAAAATTGTTTTCACATTATTAATAACCTAGATCAATATAAGGAGTTAAAAAATTGTGAAAGTAGCTAAAAATCTGGCTGGCCATTAGAGTTGTCACAAATATTTAGTGACTATTTGGTATTCAGCCTATGCAACTACTTTTTTGCTATTTGGTATTTGCCCAAATATTGCAAACTATTTGTCCAAATACCAGATTGTAACAAAAAAAAAACATAAAAAAGGATATATATATCTCTATATATATATATATATATATATATATATATATATATATATATATATATATATAAAGTTATAAGATTTTGCAGAAGTTAATAACCTGGGCTAGTAAAAATTTTATAATACTTTATATATTATAAATTTATGCGTACATTTACTATTTATTAAATACTGGCATATATATATATATATATATATATATATATATATATATATATATATATATATATATATATATATATATATATATATATAGATATATATATATATATATATATCAGCATTCGGAATTAAGAAAAATGAGGTCTGCAATATTTTGCCAATCTTAATCTGTTGGAGGTATACATATATAAATGCAGCAGTAGACACATGTGGATGGCATCATAAAAATCAGGAAGTTACAGGGGCTTTATTGACTGACAACTGCTACATCAACTGAGAGTTTAGGATGGGACAGCAATCTTTTTTTTCATTATTCTTCGTTTTTTTCTTTTTCTGAAAAATTAAAGCGCACTTTTTTACGTTTATATTTTTTAGCAAAAATAATATTAGGAAATTGCAACTTAACCTATGGATTAAGAATTATATATATGCATTATAAAAGTAATAACACTATAATAGTGTTATTACTTTATAACGCACTTTTAACTTTTATAATTCGTTCATTGTTCAAACAAGATAAGTAATCTCAAGTTTTAATTGAAGTAGAAAAGCATCTAGAAAAATAGAGTGGATACTCAAATAATATTTAAAACTTATCAAGGAACTTAAACAACTTTATAAAGACGTACTTATAAATGTACTGTAAGTTTAGTATTATGAAAAGTGTTACTAATGGTCCATAAAAACGTGCGTTAATTTTAAAAACCTTTTATTTGTTGATTTTAACTGGACCGATAAGACAGTTAAAAAAAGAAAAATAACGCGAAAAAACTTTAGGAAAAATAAATACGATTAGACCAAATATTTTTGAAACGTCGCTCTTTTATAATTTTTTATATAAAGTAACAACTTACTATTAATGATTGTTTAATAAGAAAACAAATTTTTTTCAATTTATCAAAGAGTATATATAATTTTTATTTATATACTTGTGTCTTATTTCTAGTGCTAATTTGAGGAGGTGGGGGGGGATTAGAAGGGTTATAGCTTCAGGACTCACAATGTTAGGGGGAGCGAAATAGTCAAGAGTACCATTTGATATTTTTTTTAATCATGTTTACGCTGTGGAACATAAAAAAGGCCAACTAAATAATGCAGCACCCGGCCCTGAAAATTCCAAAAAGATTCAACCAATTAAACTAATGCTAGATGATTTATTTATAAATAAAAAAGTTTTTTCAATAACTGTTTTATGCTTTGCGTAGTTTGAAAAGTTTAACACATTTGAAACAATTCTTCATAGTAAGATAAACAAATGAAATAATTAAATCATTGAGATACTGAAGAAATTCAATTAGCTAGATAGAAATTAACTAAAAATGTTAAATTACTTTGGGAGGAGGAAATAAAACTGCTTCACAATACCGCTTATAATGTTTAGTGAGTGGGTTTTATAATTTTAATTGGTATCTAAAACAGAAAAAGTAACTTTAAATTTAAGTATAGCAAGTTTGTAAGAATAACTGAAGCAAAAATAATTAAAGTTAGTAAACCAATTTCTAAGAACTTAAAAACTTTTCTTTCTTGAGGGAAAAAATCAGTTATCAGGTACACTAAGGAAAATAGATTAGTGGTTAAAGTTTTTGTATTAACTTTGATGATTATTAATAATTTCATTGAAAACACAATTATTATTGAAAGTATTTTTGTTTACAAAATCAATCACACAAATTGCTTTAAAAGATTACATTTGAATAAAATATACATGCATAAAAATACATTACATACATTACATACATAAAAAATACATCCCTTATATATATAAAATAAGAATATACTAATAAGATCTATAATATATTTACAAAACTTTGACAAGTTAAAAAATATAAACTTAAAACATTTATTTTTGTAAACAAATAATGTTAGTTTAAAACATTTATAGCTTTGTGGCTCTGAGAATGAGTCATAGTATTAAAAAAATAGTTTGTTTGATAGTATATTCTTAAAACAATTTAAACTAGAAATCTCAACGAAAGCATAACAAAGCTAAAATTATACAACTTATATTTCAACAGAATACTCTAGAACATTAGGTTAGTATTTTTTGAATACTCTAGAAATTTTGGTTAGTATTTTTTGAACCAATAGAGTTAGTTATTTGTAGATTTGGCGGGATTTTTATTTTTCTACAGAGCATCGAGTTTATATATGTTTCCATGTATGTCCGTAAAACAAAATTTACATTAAAATATTGATTATTTTGCGGACAAACAAGGAAACATACATATACTTGAATGTTCTCAAAACGAGTAAAAAATCTAGCCAGTTTTTCGCAACTAAGTATTATTTACGTGGTCAGTTATCGAGTGCGATCGCACCCGCTTTCTGACCAAGTCTATATATATATATATATATATATATATATATATATATATATATATATATATATATATATATATATATCATAGATGATTTTTTTCTGGGAATTCCGAAAATTCACTTAAAATTCCTATTCCTCATCTATGATATATATATATATATATATATATATATATATATATATATATATATATATATATATATATATATATATATATATATATATATATATATATATACAGTGGTTTTCATAAATTTAGACGCACTCATATTTGAGAATAGAAATTTTTAGTTTTTCAACGATAAAACAATGACGAAAAAAGATTTTGGTTTAGTTTTTTTTCTATTTATTAGATAAATACATACAGAATACAAAATTTAAAAAAGTTTACAAAAAAAATGAAATACTAAGTAATAATTAGGTATTAAAAAAATTAGACAAAAAAAATTATTCATAAATTTAGACGCACGATACATTAGAAGGCGTATTTTATGAACCAATCAATATTTTGTGTATCCGCCTTTTGCTTTAATACAACTAAGAACTCTTCTAGGCATAGACTCAACAAAATTTTTGCACATCGCTTCTGGGACCCCATACCAGGTCTCCTTAAGGAATTCCTTCAGCTGAGTAAGTGTAGAAATTTGAACCTTTGCTAATTCACGGTCAATCCAAGCCCAAATGTTTTCAATCGGGTTTAAATCAGGTGAGTATAAAGGCCACGGTATTGTCATGATACTATTATCGTTAAACCACTCCTTTGTATATTATGCAGTATGTGCAGTAGCGCCATCTTGTTGAAGTTTCCATGGTTTATCATTGAGCATAAGCAGGTCAATTGATGTAATTAAGTTGTTTTCCAGTACTTATACGTATATTCTGGAGTTGATTCTTCCGGTGTATGTTTGGCACATACCAACACCTTTGCAATTGAAGCATGAACAGGTTCCTATCGAGCCTCCTCCACTTTGTACAGTCGGTCTAATGTACCTGGCGTAATACTTTTCATGAGCCATTCTTTTGACTGTTATGTTAGATTTGCGATTGATAAGCTCAAAGTTACTCTCATCACTCCACATAATGTTTTCCTATTGTTCTATTGTCCAATACCTTCTTTCACGACACCATTTTAGTCTCCTTTGTTTATTATATGGACGCAGAAGCGGTTTCTTTAAAGCAGTGTAGACTCCAATCTTGTATTTGATAAGTATTCGGCGGACTGTGCTTTGAGAAATAGATGTATTTCGCGTTGTATTGAATTCTGTGGTTGATTCTTTGTAACTAATTCTTGGATTAGCTCTGACAGCTCTAAAATGAACACTATCATTCTTTCTGGTGGTTGACAAGGGTCTACCTGGCCTCGTTTTCTCGCTGGCACCACCAGTGAGAAGAAAGTTTTGTTTCGTTGTCCGAACGCATTTCTTAGAAACTCCAATTAACTTGGCGATTTTTCTATTACTTTTGGTTCCTTCTTTGATATGCGCAATAATTTGCCATCTTTCACCTTGAGTGATACGTCTTTTGCCCATTTTTGGCGTCTTTTTAGTGCAAAACTAACTTAACTTTTGTTTATTTATTAAATAATGATAAACTAATTCCAGGTAAGTCATATTTATATAAGGTTTTTTGACGAAATCAATTACTTTAGGCCTATTAATGAGAAATATGGGGAAAAAACTACTAATTAACTATCAATTAACAAGATATAAGACTTTTTTGGTTGTGCGTCTAAATTTATGAACAAAATAAAATCAAGCTTATCAATTAACTTTTTTGTGTTAATCGGTATAGAATGAGTAATAAACATCCTGTAAAAAAAAATTAAGGTACTCATAAATAGAGTTTCACTTCCTCTTGTAAATTATATATCAAACATAGCGGTAGTACTTTTATTTTATTTTTATTTTGAGTATTTTCTTACATATATGAAAATAAAATGAATGCGTCTAAATTTATGAAAGCTACTGTATATATATATATATATATATATATATATATATATATATATATATATATATATATATATATATATATATATATATATATATATATATATATATACATATACAGTGGTGGCCAAATTATTAGACTAGGTTACAAAACTGAGATTATTTTTGAATGTATCTACCTTGGCACAAATTAGTTATAAATTAATGTATATATAGTTACTGCATGTATATACAGTTACTGCATGTATATATAGTTACTGCATGTATAGCCCAATGTTGCTTAATTGATAATAAGTGCAATTTATTTTTATTTTCGCTCAAGATCCATTTTATTGAAAATTTTGACTGTAAATTGAATATTAAAATTTGGTCACCTGCTATCTGTTAGAGGTCAGTATTTTCTTATTTGTTTGATGTTTATGAGCAGAAATTAAAGGAAAATGTACATTAATAAGAGTTGCTTGACATTACATTAAAGTCAATCTTTTATTTATTTTTATTTTCTACATTATAATATAGAAACATGTTTAATTAATAAAGCATTTTATGTCAAATACATTATAATGTAGAAACATGTTTAATTAATAAAGCATTTTATGTCAAATACATTATAATGTAGAAACATGTTTAATTAATAAAGCATTTTATGTCAAAATGGTTTTCCTTATTTTTAAGCAGTACCTGGACCCTTAAAGGCACTTTATGCCTTCAAGGCATGTTGAATAAAGGTGTTTTATGCCTTCAAGGCATAAAATGCCTTGAAGGCATAAAATGATAAAAAATTCCCAAAGAATGATAAAAACTGCAAGGCATTTGAAACAAATGCATGGTATAATGGCAGAGCCGTCTAAAAAAGAAGGAAGATCTATTAAGAAAGTAAAAAATCTAGTCCATGAATTTTACCAATCAGATGAATACTCTAGAATGTGTCCAGAAAAAAAACAGTATGTCTCAATCCAAGTTGATGGTAAAAGATAACATTTTCAAAAAAGACTGCTATTACTTAATATAAAAGAACTTTATTTAGAGTTTGTTAAAATTTCCTTAGATGTCAAAATTTTCTAAGTTTTGTGAACTTAGACCAAAGTGGTGTATTCCTGTTGGAGGTGCTTCAGGTCTCTACTCAGTATGCGTTTGTGAGTACCACCAGAATGTCAAACTTTTACCATTAAAAATACCAGATATTTCAGACTATAAAAATCTCTTGACATTAGTTGTATGTGACTTAACAAAACGAGACTGCATGCTGCAGTCTGAATACTCTAGAATGTGTCAGGAAAAAAACAGTATGTTGCGAATTTTTCCAAAAAGATTTTTGTAGTTTTTGTAATGCATAGTTGTGACTGCCCAGTTACTGACACACTTAAAGAGTATCTTACTACTTTGTTTGATAAACATTGAAGAAATCACCTTTAATCAGTGGCAAAAAGCCAACAAAGAATATGATATAGTTCCAGTAACTCTTCCATTGGACGATTTTATTGAAAAAGCTTGTCAACAAATAGACCAATTAAGAGACCATCACTATATAGCCAAAAATCAAGCAGCATATTTACAGCATCTGAAAATCACATTACCAAGTAATCATATTTAAATATTACTAGACTTTGCTGAAAATTACAGTTTTTTAATTCAAGATGCAGTACAAGGTTTCTATTGGAACAATACCCAAGCAACATTGCATCCTTTTGTTATTTACTTTATGGAAGAAAATAAGATAAAATGTAAAAGTATTTTTATTATCTCAGATAATTTGCAACACAATACAAACTCAGTTCATTGTTTCATTAAAGTATTAAAACATTTAAAAAATTTGATACCCTACTTTAACCATTGCATTTATTTCAGTGATGGTGCAAGTTCATAATACAAAAATTATAAAAACATATCTAATTTATGTCACCATTATCAAGATTATGAGATATCTGCAGAATGGCAACTTTTTGCTACATTACATGGAAAGAGTGCATGTGATGGTGTTGGGGGAATTGTCCAAAGACTAGTAGCAAGGGCAAGTTTACTATCACTAGTTGATCCTATCAATTCATCTGAGAAAATGTCTGATTGGTGTAGGCAAAATATTAATGGAATACATTTTCAATACATTTCAAATGATGCAGTTACATTACATTGCATAAAATTTAAATTAGATAAGGAATTTCTGCCAATCCTCAATATTTTCTTGTTTTATAATTTTATCATGCATATGATTTATATTTATGTATAAATGTATGTTTTTTAATATATAATATGTATTAACGATTCCATCTTTATGTTGATTTTTTATTAAATATAATGTTTTATAATACATAATACCTATTAATAATTATAATTATATAATTACATAATAAACTTGTGTATCGCAATGACAAATCAAATTACTCTTATCACTTGATATAATCTGTTATCTAAATTTAAACATGACAATAATAAGATAAAGGGGGAAGGGTGGATTTATTTTCATTTTTTATCTAATAAGCATAAATGCTTATTAGATAAAAAATGAAAATAAATACTTATCATTCTAGTTATCTGCACAACACATATCAGTTATTATCTTACAGTTTTATGTTCTGACTTAAATTTAGTATCATTTTCCCCAAAGCATTTGCTACTCCACCCTATTATTTGTAAATTTATAAATAAATATCACAGCTATTATTTGAGTATGTTCAATACTTGGTGCATAAAGATACTTCATGCATCAGATATAATATCAGACACACTGCATAAGCTAAAATGTCTATTAAACAGTAGATAAAATGTTATCAAGAAATAAGTTCTTCTTAAGATAAGAATGTTCAGGGCAAAAATATGCATGTTAAAAACAAAAAGACAGGGGGGGGGCAGCTAAGGTTAGTTAAAATCTGAGTTTAATTTAGTCCTAATTTAAAGCTAATTTGTAGCAATGATTTTGATATACTTTCATATATATATATATATTTTTTTTTGCATTGTAGTAAATAATGAAAACTGGGGTACATGTATCTCTATTTTTTGCGTTTTTAATGCATTTTGTGCCAACTTCATTGTTCTGACTTTGTAACTTTCTCATGAGTACTTGCTATTTTTTTTTCTAAAATCACTTTAATAAAGTCTATTAAGTCAGTAGAAAAAAGGTTTATCATGAAAATCAGTGTTGATCATAGGTTACCTGTGGATTTAAGGGAAGGCACAATTTTGTAAGTTCTAGCCGGAGCCATTTTTAGGGGTTCATAATGTCTTACTGAATTGTATCTTATCAGCAAATTTCTAAAAATTAGAAAAAATCAAAAATTTCAAATGACCATATCTCATGAACCACATAAGATTTGAAGCTGAAATTTTCAGGATTTGCTTTTCTCATTAATATAAACCAATCCACCAAGTTTCATCAAAATCGGAGGGGTCCATGTTGGAATCTCAAAATTTTAGACCATTTGGCATGGAATGACCCATATATATATATATATATATATATATATATATATATATATATATATATATATATATATATATATATATATATATATATATATATATATATATATATATATATATATATATATATTTAATTATGTATATATTTAATTATGTATATATTTATATATATATATGTATGTATGTATAAACCTTTTTTTTTATTTTTAAACTGCCCCAACCAAACCCTCAGTCGATATAGCAGCACTTCTTTGTAGCAGCAGGTTATAAGATAGTCGATGTAGCAACACCTTGTAGTAGTAGGCCATAAGATAGTCTACGTAGCAGCACTCTCTTGTAACAGCAGGTTAGAAAATAGTCAATATAGCAACGCTCTGTTTTACAATAAAAATATAAAAATAAAAACATTCAGAGTGTTACTTTTAAAAAAATAAAATGCATATATATATATATATATATATATACATATACACTTTTTTAAAACAATTTTATATATATATATATATATATATATATATATATATATATATATATATATATATATATATATATATGTATATATATATATATATATATATATATATATATATATATATATATATATATATATATATATATATATATATATATATATATATATATATATATATAACATAAATTATATATACATATGTATATATATAATTTATGTATGTATATGTATAAATATGTATATTTTTAATTATGTTTTCAGAGTAATTCTCAAAGGGAGAAAATTTCTAATGGAAAATCAAGAGAGCGATCTTCAAAGACTACAGAGTCAGAATCAGAAAGTAGCAATGAAGACTCTGACCATGAAGATATTTGTCATGTTTGTGAAACAGATGGTCTTGTTATACTATGTGACACTTGTCCTTTAAGTTATCATTTTGATTGCCATAATCCACCATTACGTCATGCACCAAGGTTTTTGATTATCTGTTTTTTGTTTAATTTAACAAAAAATTTTAACTTGTACTCATGCTTTATTCTGTTTTACACAGGGGTCCTTGGAGCTGTTATGAATGTCGAAAAAATTCTAAAAACTCCTCTGGTAATATGTTTCTTATTTTATTTTATTTTTTATTTTTTAATTTTTTTTGTTTGTTTAGTTTCAAAGCTTATTTTATATAATAGCTGGTTCTACTCTTAAAAGCAATCATTTATAAATTGTTTGTTTTTTAAAACATTTAAACAAACAGAATTTATTAAATTTAAACATAAAATGACAATTATTGTCGGTAGGTTTAATATATTAGTAATGTTGGCTTTTCAGGTAGTATTATTGGTTATTGAGTCTAAATTTCTGACCAAAAATTCATAGAATAAAATTATAAAAAAATTTTCTTATTAATTGTTAATGCTTTATTATCATCTAAAAAGTTTTATTTAAATCATATAATTTTTATTTGTGACATTTAGTTTTTAAAGTTTTTATTTAAATCATATAATTTTTGTTTGTGACATTTAATTTTAAAAAATTTTGTAAAATTTAAAAAGTTTGCAAAGATCTTTATAATATGGTTGGTGTCAGGGAAAAGGTTGGTGTCAAAAGGTAAGCAATAGGGCTAACTCTAAAGTTCTATTATATGTAATCTTTAATTTTTGTTATTATAGTTAGCAGACAAACCTTTTATTAATTTAAAAAAAAAATAATAATAATAAAATCAGTTTAACATTAAACTTATGCTGATATTCCTTCTTTTTTTTTTTAACAGTTTCCAAAAGAACCCATTCGAAATATATTGATTCAGATTCAGAACAAGGTTCAAGTAAGAAATCTCAAGCAATTTCAAGCAAACAAAAAAAAAGAAAATCTGACACCTCAGAAAGTGACTTACCAAGAAAAAAGGCAAAAAAGAAATCTAGTAGTAGTTCAAAAAAAATTAAAAAATTAAAACTTAAAAATCGTAATCAATCAAATAAAAAATTGAATAAAAAATCTTCTGACATTTTAAACAGAAAAAAACGACGTGTCTATGATAATGAGAAAGAAACGTCTGAAAATGAAAGTTATGAGATAAATGATATTCATAATAACACTGATCGCAATGGTTTTAATAACTCTACAAAGCTTGGAAATCAAAGGCCGCATTACACTAAAGATGAAAATAAAATAGATATGATTCATAAAACTTTAGACACTGATGAGTTGTCAGATTTTAAAATTAATGGAGATGTCCAGCGATCATCGCGAAGTCGTCGCAAGAGTTCTCGTAATAATCCAAGAGAATCAAATTATGAGGTAAATAAATTTCTTTAATACTTTTGGTGTATTATAATTTATTGACGTCTCTAGGGTAGGGTGGGGCTATTTGAGCATGGGATAATATGGGCGAGTAAAATATCTATATATAGGAGAATATATATATGTGTATATGACTACATAGTTTGCAACAAAAGGTTGTTAAACTTAAAGGCCATTTTATATGTGTGTGCATATATAAAATATTTAAACAGTTAATTTAAAACTTATTATAGGATTAGTATTACACTGACAAATTTAAAGTTTACAAACAAAAAATTGTATAAAGCTTCAACTGTTACAACATTTTCTTAATTTATTGATTAAAAATCACTAAATAAAGTATTATTTTTAAGGTTTATGGTTGTTATTAAGTATTTTTTTAATTGCCCTGGAACTATTTTTACAACCCTTTGATTTTATTACTGATTAGGGAAGGAAAACTTTAATGTTCCAATCAAAGAAACTTTTGACTATTTTGTTATATCACTACAATAACATGCTTGCAGCAACTTATAAGATAAGTTTATATTGTTAATTTGCATTTTAAATCTCATCGAATTAAATACAAAAAATGGTATAACCTATAGCACCATAGTTTACCCAGCGCAATCAATATAGTGTGAACACAAAATTAGATCACTGAACAAATTTTATGAGGAATAACTTTCAAAATGTGTCAAAATGTAGAAAATAATGTGTTTTACTAAAAAAATGCAAAAGGTAGTCATAATTAATTTTTTCAAAAATAAATGCAAGTGTTCTAATTAAGACGCTGTTCCAATTTCGCCAACTCTCCCCTATATATATTATTTATATATCTATTTTTTCCAGGTCTGTAGTGTCTAAAAGCTCTAAACATGTTTGTTGATGACTTGGTTTGATGACTTGGAACTTATTTTTTTTTTTAAGCTCGGAGTCCTGCAGTCCCAGAGTCATTGTCGCCATTATACCTAAGGACTCCGTGTGTATATATATATATACACACATATAAATACATATATATACATGTGTTTATATCTATACATACATGCGTACATACATACATACATACATAAATACATGCATACATACACATATACATACATACATACATACATACATACATACATACATACATACATACATACATAAATACACGCATACATACACTCATACATATATACATACATACATACATACATACATACATACATACATACATACATACATACATACATACATACATACATACATACATACATACATATATACATACATAAGAATAGTTTATTTTCAAAATATGGTATATAGTGATTTTGAAAAAATTGCATAAAATGCCTAATTTTATTAAGAAAATCAGATACTTTTAAGTCATGTTTGTAACTGTTTTTAAAGATTTTTAACTTATAAAATACAGTATAATTTTTTAATTTTATTTTCAAAATAGTGTATTTTTTTAGACCATTCTAAGCATATAGAAAAATAGTTCTGCACAAGCACAATATCTTATAATAATACTTAAAAATGACAGATTGTGACTGTTTGAATGAAAAGGTTGTTTTAGCATTAATTTTTTTTTTTTTTTTATGGATAAAATCAATACAAATCTTACTTAAAAAATGGGCTGCCATTTTTTAAGTAAGATTTTTACAGACATTTTTTAAGACCATTAGAGCTAGCATTTGGATACACAGCAAAAGACTCATGTTCTACATGCCAATCATTCAAGTTGTCTCTAAAACCAAAACATGACCATAATAAACCAAAAACTGCTTTTTTTATTTTGCCGAAAAAAAGCAAGAAAGTTTTAAAGTCTAAATTCTATCCATCCAAATGAGATGACTATCTACTTTGACCTGATGGAGAATCTTGTACTACCAAAATTATAGGAGAAGCCTACTGTTATACTACTATTATAATATTATACTTTATGTTCTAGGTTTGTTATTCACAGGGGTAAAAAATCTGTTCAGCTGTAGATCTAATTAAAAAAATTTAATGGATAAGTGTTCTAATATTTCATCATTTTAACTTTTTTCTGATTCATGCTAAGGGGAAAAACAAAAACATAAATATGACATCTACACTTCTTGCATTTAAAAAAGCAATGTTTGAAAAAACTGCAGGTTACACATAATTTTGTTGAAGTCAAGTCATAGTTTATGACTTGACTTCAACACTTGACTTCAAATCAGAAGTGAAAAGGTTTGTTAAGAGCACAAAACTTAAAATCAGTGAACCAAAGAAACTCCTTATTTATTCTGACAAGCTAGAAGTAGTTGCATACAGTTACCATTATGAGCCCAAATCACACAGTCTCCTAATAAGAACAGTCTCCTTAAAAAAGGAGGCTGTTCTTACTTTATAGTTTCTGATTAACTTTATAAGTCCTTAACAAAGCCAAGAAATAGAACAATTTCAGACTAAAATTTTTGGAAATAAAGTACCATGTTAAGCTTGCTAAGAAATTAGTTATTAATTTAGTTATAAATTATAGTATATAAATATAAAAAAACATGTTCTTTATTAGTAACACTATATGACTACTGAAATGAAATTGATAAAATCAATATTTATTTTCAGCTGTTATTTTCTGTTTATTTCAAAACACTGTTCATCCAAATATTACTTAATAACAAAATATGTTAGTAACATCTTCAGTAACATTACCAAGTAGTGTTCTATATATGGTGAGTATTCTATTTTCTATTCCTATGGAGACCTAGGAGAAAAAAAATCTTTCCAAACAAGTTTAAAAATTCTTTAATTCCAAAAGTTTTGGTCTGAAAGTTTTTTTTTTTTTTTTTTTTTTTTTTTTGTTGTTAATTCACCTCCTCAAGATCAAGAAGGCCACTACAGGCGAGGAGGCTACTACAGGCGAGGAGGCTACTTATTTGTGGTTATAACCTTCTCTCAACTCTATTATTCCGAAACACAAACCTTGACAAATGAGGACGCTGCGCTGAGAAACGAGTTGACCATTTATTTCATTTTTTAAAGAATTACATATTTAATAAAAAACTAAAAAATAAGAACAGCTCCCAATTAATGAATTTTTATCCCATCAGTTGGTAAATTGGAACCTTTTGTACCTTTAGTTAGCAAATTTGGACTTGGATTATTTATCTCTATTCTACAAGTAATTAGAGGACTTGTAGTGTAATTTAGTGCTGAAGTTTATTCTTATCATAAAATAAAATAATTGAAATTAAATTTTTTTTTGATAACTCGATAGAAAAAATGCGCTAAGGATAATTATAGTTTATTTTAATCCAATGACTTTGCAAATGGTGGCAAAATTTTTAGAGTTTTTTTTTAAAGATTAAAATTTTTTTTTTTTTTTAATTTTTAAAATTTAATCAAAAAATTGAACAAAAAAAACAGTTTGAATAAGAATGTTTTTAATTAACAACAGAAAATAATAGTATAATAAGAATTTTAATTAAGTATATAAAAGGCAACCATTGATTTTACTGTGAATCGAAACTAAAAATGTGTTTATGTAAAAGTAAAGATATACATTATGGTCATATACAATAGACGTATAATATAAAATAAGAATTAAGAGTAGTTGATCAACAATTGTTGATGAAAAAAGTATATATATATTTATAACATGTTATAAATATTTATTTGAAATTGTCAAAATACATCTTGGTTGTTTGTAAAAACCCAAGGTTTAATATTTAGGATTGAACTCCTATAATTCCAAAACCCTTGTAATTCAAACATATTGTGAGACCCTTTGAGGGTTTGGATTCATGAGTTCAACTCTTTAAAATGACTTTCACTAAGATTTGTAAAACTTTCAGGAATTGAATTCATTAAGCTGCAATAATTTTTTATCTCTTTTTGTTTTAACGAGATACGGTATGTTGCTATGTTTATATGTCTCTATCTAGGGATTTAGCACATTATTTTCATATTTTATATCGCTTTTTATTCAGAATATATAAAATATTGTTGAATGTACAATCAAACTTATTAAAACTACAATATATATATATATATATATATATATATATATATACACACACACACAAGGGGCGAATTAAGTGATCGCGAATTGAAAATTCTGTAAAAAATTCTGGTCTTGAAATTTTTAGTTTCTTGTAAAACTGTTACAAATGGTCCGAAAAAAACACGCAAAAATGGTTTTCAAGAAAAACAAAATTTGAATATATATATATATATATATATATATATATTTAATTATCTTCGCTTCCAACAAGGCTGCAAGCAACCACTAATTAATGTTGGAAGTTACTGGAAGAGAAAAGATGAAGATTGTAGAGCAATATAACGATTGACAGACGACTTAAAAGATTGCAAATTATATGAATCAGGAAAGCAAGATAAAGGAAGCAAATTCCAAAGAACTGATGTTCGAGGAAAAAAACTAGATGAATAAGAGTTTTTGGAGCACTTAGGAACAGTAACAGAAAAAGGATGAGACTTAATTGAATGAAGAGTAACACGAGAATGAATTTTAGTAGATGGCACAAGAGATGCTAGCTCTTTCGAGCAGTGCCCATTATAGTATTTGTAGAAAAGAGAAAGAGAAGCAACATTACGACGATGTGACAGAGGTTGAAGGTTGGCTGCAAGAGCAGGTCCAACTATGTTTACAATGCGTTTTTGCACCTTGTCTAAAAGAGAAAGGGCATCAAGGCCGGATTTAAGATTTATAGAGATAGAGAATAGAATCCAGAGTAAGAAAGTGACGAGCTCGATAAAGAGAAGCAACTTTAGCAGATGCTAATTTTGCAACGGATTTGATATAAGGTTTCCAAGAAAGATCAGAAGTAAGAGTTAATCCTAGAAGATGTAGGGTAGGAGACTCATCGAGTACATTACCGTTCATAAATATAGGAAGGTCTAAATTATTGCGATAACGATTGGCCGAAAAAAATTGAGTTTTATCTGAATTAAAGTTCACCAGCCACTGTGAGCCCCATGCTGTAGCAGAAGTGAAATCCTTTTCAAGCTCAGATGCCCCCTGCAAGCAATCAGAGGGAGTTGGCTTCTTATCGTGACAAGAATAAATGGTAGTATCATCAGCGAACAATGCCACCTTAGATGAGAGATTATCTGGAAGATCGTTAATGTAAATTAAAAAGAGTATAGGGCCAAGGATTGAACCTTGAGGAACCCCTGAGGTTACAGAATAAGAAGAAGAAGGCTGTCCATCAAGGACAACTTTTATACTACGATTGGAAAGAAAGGATTCAATAATCTTAAAGATGTTTCCAGATACACCGTAAGAAGAAAGCTTATGGAGGAGACCAGCATGCCAAACTTTATCAAACGCTTTAGAAATGTCAAGAGCAATGGCCTTAACCTCTCCACCTTTATCTAATGCACGATAAAACCTATCGGTTATTACTGATAGCAAATCAGCAGTAGAATGAGAAGATTGAAATCCATAATGATGATCAGAAAGTAGGTTATGAGATTCGAGATGAGAGATTAAGTGTTTGTTAATTAAAGTTTCAAAAACCTTGCTTATGATAGGAAGAATTATTTTTTTGAATGTGTTTTCAAAACAGATATTTTTTATATAAGTACAAATCTAGAATATGCACTAAAAAAACATTTAAAGTGCATAATATGATGTGACAACTTAGTAGACCTTGCTGGTGGACCTTTGACCATTTGACTCTACACTGATGACCATTTAACATTGCATCCATTAGTAGCATGCTTGCTCTGTTTTAAAAGCGTAAAGAGATTAAATGTGTTATAAGTGGATTTATGATAAGCAGTATGTAACTAATAGTTTGTTATATAAAGAAATATGTCACACTGTTAGACCATTAACCTTGTGATTCACTCAAGAATTATTCAATGATTTTTTTTTTTTAATTTAGCATGATTTATTTCTAGAACATAAAAAATCTAGAGCACAATTTTTTATAAAGAAATTGTTTATACAACTATAGAAAAGTATTCTCTAGAATTTCATAATCTTCTTGAATTTCTTGAAGTTCTTGAATGATGGATAGTAAATTTCTATGATTGCATTAATTTTCAATGATGCATTAATTTCCAAAGGTTTATTTTGAAACCTGTTATAATAAGCAAATGTTGATATGTACGAATGAGGAAGAAAAGTGTGGTTGCAGCTATTGCTACACTCTAATTTTTGAATATTATATTGTTTAACAATTTACCTTAAATAACAATGCCATTAAATCAGCATTCTATGTATACTAAGGAATATTCCTTAACAATATGACTTTAAATTTCAAAGTCATTTTAAACGTCAAGTTAGACATCTTGTTATGCTGCATAGTTTCGTATTTGTCATTAGATTAGTTTGTTATTTTTGTTTGTTTTTGACTAGTGAATAGAAAACATTGTTAGCTGAAAATAAAAGGGAATAAACTTGATTAAAACCAGAGTAAAAGGACCCCCAAAAGAAATTGAGCAAAATAAGTTCAATAAAACCTAAAATTTAATTTATTTTTTATCTAATCTACTCTTTGATTTAAATTTTAAAAAGAAAAGAAAAAATTATCTTGTTGAAATAAGTCGTAGAAAATCAAAGATATTAGCTTTCTGATCTTTGCTATGATTTTGACTGATTACTGATCTTTAAATAAATAAAATTTATTTGCATTCTTCTTTTTTTTAAAAGTAGCTTTTCAATCGGCGTCATAATTAGATTTTATAAAATAAAGACCCAACAAGTTATGGGTAAATTTTCAAATGAAATTTTACTAAGAATTATTTTAAAGCGGTTTCTGCATTACATAAATTGTTTCAGAAATGTGGGGTATGTATTTTTTTTTTCAGAAAAAATACATCCCCCACCCCCACCCCACCCATCCCCCGCCCCCACCCCACCCATCCCCCGCCCCCACCCCACCCATCCCCCATGGAAGACCTCTACGGGACAAAAGTTCAAAAAATTAGTTTTTAATAACATTTAGAAATAATATACTTGATATAGATTCAAGCTTGTGAAAACATTTTGTGCGAGTTATTAAGAAACAAAGATTCTTGGCCATTTATTTATCCTGTAAATTTGAATGAGGTATGTTAACGGTTTATTTAGTTTTGTTTTTTTCTTAATGCATTGGGTATGCGTTTTATTAGTTAAAGTAGTCTAATTTAAAATGTTACTCTATTATTCTAATTTCAGGCTCCTGATTACCTGGATATCATCAAAACTCCTTTAACTTTTTCAGCCATGCGAAAAAAGTTAGAGGGGTTTCAATACGAAGATGCACATCAATTTCTTAAAGATGCAAAACTAATTTTTGAAAATTCTAAAACATATAACCATGTAAGTATTAAGTATTGTTTTTTAACACTTTTTTATTTTCTGTTTGGCACGATTTCTTTTTCGCCTGAGTTAGTTAAAAAACGACTCGAGTGTTTACCGGTTCTGCAAACATTTTTCCAACTTCATTAACCTAAGTTAAATTTTTTGGTTTTTCGGTTGCTATTTTTTTATCTCTGGCAAAGTTTTTTTGTTTAATCAAGGCCATGAAGGCCACTGCAGTATTGATGCTGGAGATTCTTCTTTTTACTTTTTCATCTTTTGCATTTCGCTAATTTATGATAAGTTATAAAAATAAATTTGAAAAAACGGTTGCCAAAAAAAAAAAAAAAATTGTACACCAGGAACAACAAAGAAATTGTTGTTCCTACTTTGTTTTGAATGGTAATGGTATGTAAAAGTATTTTTTTAATGTCGGCACATCCCAAGCAAAAGTCATATAATCATTTCTAATTGAACATCTAAAGTTTTGTATAAAACATTTTTTTTTTTTTTTGATTAGATCAATTCTCAAAATAGAAGAAAGGGTAAATAGGAGCTTGTTTTTTAAATCTACAAACTCACTTGAGGCAATACGTGTTTATTAAAAAAAGATTGTAGGCTTGAAATCTAAAAAAAACATTTAAAATCATAGTGATTGAGTGAAACTAAAAACTCATAATAATGCTCAACAACGAATGCGACGGCAACGAAATAAAAAAAACTGTTTTTTACTATTCTAAACTAAATTTATATCCATCGAAAGATTTTTAATTTATCGAATCTTTTTTAGCGTTAAAAAGATACGATCGTAGCATTCTATAAAAGTTTTCATAAAGGAGGGAGTGGGATGGAAACAAACACTAAATAGCTGTTTGTATCATGGATGTTTTTTGTCAACCTCTTTAGATAATATTTTATTTTAATTTAGGATACTTCTGAAGTTGGCGGTGCAGGTATTCGGCTCATGTCTGTTTTTAATACACTCGTTAAGAGGTATTTACCAGAGTTGCAAATATCATGATTAAACGACGTTGTACTTATAAATACTCTGTATGAGCTTGTAAAAAATATCTGTTTTGCTGTCTGTTTTTTTTTTTTTTTAATTTAATTTTAATAAAACACTCGACTAAATAACAATGTTTTTATGGTATTTTTATTGCAGCTTTGCATTGACGAAAATTTTTTTTAACGCAAATATTTTAAAGGTTCTTTATTTATGTTGTTTCGTTATATCAAAAGATCTAAATTGTATAGGACGTATATTCAGGCGAGGGGGGGGATGCAGCATTTTTTGGTGTTGGAGATAGCTAACCTCCAGACATGGAACGAATTCCAAACATTTATATGTTTATACTTATATCAAATAACAATGCATTGCAAAAAGTTGTGATGATATAGGCCTTGGAATAAAAAAGCCCTTAAATTTGGCCACAACTAGAACAAAAAAGCCCTTAAATTTTGGCCACAACTGCTTCAAACGCGAGAGTAACAAGTTGATATAAAATCACCTTTACTAGATAGTGGGTTATCTACTCTAGAATCTTGCAAAAGTTTCTCATAAAGTTTGCGTAATATGTTATCTGCACCGATAGTATCTAGCAGACTAAAAACATATTTTTTTAAACATTTTTCACATAGTTATACATTAGGACACTTAGTTTAAAAGTATCCTATTTCTTCCCCTTTTTAAATCGACTTAAAGTAATGGTAACAAAGTACTAATTCCTGATGTTTAAAAATGATTGTTTTTTGGTCTCACATATTGTAAATGTTTTCATTGTTTTCACAAAAAAATTTTCTGCTTTAAAGTCTAAAGCTGACCAATCCCGGCTATAAACAAAAACTTTCATACGTCGTGTTAAAATGTCTCTGTAGCAGTGGTTTACTAGAGGGGTGCGAAAGTGCAAGCCGCACTGGGTGACACCATCATGACCTGACACAATGGGTTGGCACCAAAATGAATAAAATGCAATTATGACAACTGCTCATGCATTTATTTTTGCGTTTGGCCTAACCAATGGTTTTCAGGTTTTAAATTTTAGATATTCTTTGTTAATAACTCTTCTATTTCTTCTTTTTTTACTACTTTATTCGTTTCTTTTGTCGAGATTAAAAGATTAGCCTGTGTCGTCGGTCCTGTTAGTGAAAGTAAAGAGGGGTGACACCGCACTAGGGGCACCAACCACGGCGACGCCACTGCTCTGTAGATATCAGGTTGTAAAATCTGCTCACGTTTTTTTATATCCTACTGAACACTACCAATTATTTTATCTGCTAGAAGGTAGTAATGCTCTCATTCAGGAAAAGTGATGGTCATGAGCATATTTTTAAGTTATTGCTTTTTTAAGGAAAGAAGTATCAACACTGTTTATTTCTTGCTTTGTCCATAACAGGTATCTGAAAGTGTATAAATAATTAATACATTGGAAAATGCATCAAATTTTTTACATCTCTCTTATCTTCATAGGCCAACAATTTTTTATTTCCGCCTCAAATTTCAAGTCTGTTTGGGATTAATGGACAATTAGTCTAAACTAGCAGTAAGCAACCCGTAATACGCGTTGTTAGCAAATAAATTAAAAAAAAACCGCGTATAGAAAAGCCTAGAAACTACTTTAAAATAGAAAAGCCTAGAAAATGACGTAACTCGACTAATAATAATAATATTAAATTAGCGTTTTCATATTATCAGCCATTAAACGCCATCGTTAAATTTTTTTACGAAATAAAATTTTAATAATAAAACACTGGATTAGCCTCATTTATTTCTTTGCAAAAAAGTAATTGTCGGTTTAACAAACAAATAAAAAATAATTATTATTGAATGATTTCCTTAAATAGAAACAGACAACAAATATATTTAAACTTATTAATATAAGATGTCTTTTTAATATATTTTATATCATCATTCCATAATCAGTTCAGTTAAACAAAAAAGTTTGAAACTATGAACAAATTTTAAAATGAAGAAATACTTTTCTTTTTTCAAATTTCAAGCATTGTATCTTGTTTTTTATGTGAAATAGAAGATTAGATAACGCATTAGATAACGCATTAGATTTACGAGGTTTACGCTCGTAAAGCGATTGTGAGCAATCCGTGGCAATATACTTTTGTTACAGATTGGTCATAATTAAAATACCGTACTTTGAAAATAAATTAAAAATTCCATACCGTGTTTTGGAAATAAAACTTTTTTTAGATTATGAAAGAAATATAGGTTTATACTGCGCTTAGCAAATAATTGAACATAATGTCTGTTACACCATTCTTAAAAAGATTATTAAAGACTATTAGCTTTAAGTAATATTGGCAAGACAGGGGCAGACCTTAGCTAGACTTTAAGGTGGTTAGACTGCTAAAAAAATTATTTTTGTATTTTACAATATTTCAATAAATTTTTTTACTTCGAACATGATAAATACATTAGAAAATTCATAATTTTCTAATGTATTTATCATGCAAAAAATCTTGGCAAAGATATCTCAAAAAGTATAATTTATTAAGTTCTAATTTTTTGTATTTTTATTTGTTTTATGTAGATAAATGTCCTGAGATAAAAATTTTTGTTGAAAATTTCCTTATTTTAAAGCATCGTTAGATTTTTCAAAGCGCCCAATTAATAATCGAATTTCTGATATTAAGAACAAAAAGTTTGTTGTTATAAAAGTTTATATTCTAAATTTTTTTATCTCAGGACATAAAGCTTATTATAATAAATCTCTGTACAAAATTTTAAGTCAATTGGACAATTACAGCTCCTGCAATCTTTGCCATAAAATTAGAAGAATAAAACAGAGAAAAAAGCATATAAAATTAAAAATATTGAATATACAAACTTATTAAAATCCCCCTTTTTTATATACTGCTCTTCTTAATTTTAGTATTTTTTATCAAACGCTTTCCTAGTTGCTTTAAGATTTTTTCTTTGTTTTTAATTTTTTTTTTTATTACTAACCTTAACTAGCGGTTGCTATGAGCGTTGCTAGGGGAAACAAAATTACACTACTAATATAAATCACTTTTTATTAGTTCTAAATTTTTTTTCTCATACGAAGATCTATATATTTTTAGACTCTACATCAGTTACTGTTTAAGTCAATGCCACTTTTGAAAAATCGTTTTTTTTTTCTAACTTTTTTAAGAGTCTACCTTAAGACACACTCGAAATGCCGTTTAAGTTACAAGTTATTTAGATATGAGAAATCGTAAAAGGAACTACTTTAAATGTGTGAATGCCAGAGTCGACTTAGGAGTCGTAAAAGCCTTGAGTCTTACGTATAAATCCCTTAAAAGGAGGAATCAAGTGAAATCATAAAATATAGATTGCAATATAAGGAATTACAATGACTTTAACATCTGATTTTTAACCTTAATTAACTATTGTTTTTATTTTTAATTTTACTATAACAATTTTAGTTCTATAATGGAAAAGCTATTTTTTGTAATCATTTGAGTCTGATTTCTGGGCATAACTTGCGTTATCAGTAAGGAAGAAAACGTAAATCTCCGAGTTAAATGTTTCTCCGCGGTGCTCATTTTAAAGACTATTAAGTCTTCTTGGGGCACGTAAAACATTTTAAAAAAATTTGTTTGACTCTGAATGTATTTGAGCCTTTCTTTGTATCAACTTATCATGGTATTTGCTCTAGTTGCATAATATATGAATGATTTTTTTTCCGAAACTAATCGGGGCACAATTCCCAGCGTGATTATTTTTCAAACTACTTTTTTTGCTATTTTTGTTAACTTTCCGTGAATTTTAGTATTTTGTGGTTCATCATCAAAAAAAAAGTTAAAAAAAAAAAATTTAAATTAAAAAAATGTTATCATCTAATTTAATAAAAAGTTTTACTTTTATTTTATATTTTGTGTGATATTTAAGTTTTTAGTTAGCTACATAAATTAATGACCCCTTAACAAAATCTTAGTCACAATCAAGTGTTTCAATTATAGTGAGAATTATAATGTATTTTAAACATTTAGATTTTTTAATGACTGTTTCTCCGCTGCCATCTAGACGTTCTAGATCAATAGTTAAAGCAAAAATAAAAACATTTCAGCCCATCGCTTCCACCATTTCACCTAGCCATTATACTATTGGCAAACAACCTGTGCTCACTCAATAATGACAAATGCTAAGAGCTGTTGGTTTATATACTTAGACTTTTGTTAACGTAGACGTTATACTATCTGCTCTGCCTAAATCTAGTTAGCCACACGTCATTTTTTTCGTGGAAACTTGGTTCACAGATTTATCAGACGTTGTCATATCCGGCTACCAACCACATCGCAAAGATAGTGACAATTGGGGTGGCGGAGTTGCTATTTACACAGATAATATTATTGTCAACGAGGTTAATTCTACCCAGATTAATTCAACATCAATTGAGCAAATCTGGCGAAAAATAAAAATTGGTGAAGAATCGTTTCTCCTAGGCTGCTTATATCGTTTTCACAACCTTAATAATTAGGGTGCGGATTCACAACACTTTCGTAAGTTCAAAATTTGCGTAAAGTTTGCGTAAACTTTGCTTAAGTTCGAAGTTACGCAAAGCCATATTCACGTAACCAAAAACTTACGAAATTCT